TCTAATTCCAGGATGGGATGAACAGGAACACCAGCAACAGCAACAATGAACTGACAAAGGACATGGGCAAAACAGGTGGTTTAAATACAGAGGGCTAATTAGGGAAACATGGGCAGGTAAACGAGGGACAGGTGAGAACAATAAGGGTAATCATGGCAGGAGAGGAACACAGTCAGGCGGGCAGGGGCAGATCGTGACAGACATGAAAGCACTAATCAGATTTTACTAATCAGATTGAGACTTGGATGGTTTTCAGGTGATAAAACCCAATTTTAAAGATAAAATCTGCACTTGGGAAAGTTGAGCACTGAGTCAAAAGATGCTTAAAATGGATTTTCTGTTTTTTTAAAAGTGTTTCTGTGTAAAAGTTATAAATAACAATTATCTCAACTAAGATCGATTTCTCAACAGATTTTTTCTTTCAAAATTAGTTAATGTCCCACAGGACTGATGGCATTGTTGCCAGTTTTGCATTACAATGTTACTTTGGCAGAACTGTCATTCAGTCCCTGCCAGAACGGCCTCTGGTTTCACTTGAAGCTCTACATTTTCCTTTTGATTATATTTACGCTTATGATCAGCCAGACAATTTCATGTAAATACCGCATAATACAAAATCAATAATGAAGTAAAAGTGTATTAAATAACTGCATTAACTGCTATGAAAAGGTTGTATCTGCTATTATGTCATCAGTCCTGGTCAAAAACTCCAGTTCTCTGAACGGAGGCTGTTCAGAAACCTATCTGTAACAAGTAGGATGTTAATTATTTTAAAATTTTGTGCAAAAAGTGACTTCAAAATATTTCTAATGTCCTTAAAAACTAAAGGGAATTTTGTCCTCATTCTGCTTAAAGAAATTCCTGAACATCGATTACAGAGTCGTTAAATCAGACAGATACACATCTCAGATAAAGAACAAGTGGCTGCAGAGATTACATAATTTATTCAGACTGTGAAAAAATAATTTCATAAATATGGAGACGTTGGCTGCGAGGACAGTAAATCCATGTTATGCGGTTTTATTGTCCATGATGTGAATAATGCAGGATTACATTGCCTTTCTATTCAGTGATAAATAACTGTGAATCTATAAATCTTGCTATGCCGTTTATCTTGCTGTTGTAAGAGATGAATGAATCTGCATTTTCAATGAGCAAAAACTGTCAAAAGAGCCGCATGACTCAGGGTGAAATCATCATCGTTACTCCCTGTTCTGTACGCTTTTTCATACCTTTTTTAGAAGTGGTGCACGAAGACCGCCTGTCCCAATTGTCCACAATTTCAGATGATGCATACAGACTCACAAATGGATTATTTCATGCAGTACTGCTTATCATACAGCATTACCCTTCATTGTTTGATAAAGTGAAGTCCATGTGTGTCCAAGACTAATTCACCACAAAAAAAAATGCAATAACAGACTGGAATGAATATTTAAATTGAAAACAGAAAAATGTCAGCGGGCGAGGATTTACGTGACTCTGTTTTAACGTGCTAATTAACACTTTTTTCATGTTTGGATGTATGTGAGTCAAGCCCGTGGTAAATCTGGCACACTGTCGTGTGTGACAGATGATCCCATCTGCACCCCGGTTGGTGACAAAAGTGGCGCCGTCAGGTGTCTCATCAACACGTTTCAGCAGGAAAGCTCCGAGGAGCCCGAGCAGCAGACCACAAGCACCCTGTCCAGTTACGGCACATTAATCTAACACTAACTCAGTGACTTCACGGGCTTTCTTTAAAGACATCAAACACAGGATGTTTAGTTGTTTTACAAGGATGAGGTGACTGAAACCTACAGTATAGAAACATATAAGCTGCAAAAGTCTGTTTTTCTATTAACAGATGAAGATAGTTTATGCTTATTTGACATTTGTTTGTGGAGATAGATTGATAGTCAAATGACATTTCGTTTTATTTACCTGGTTTATATTTAATACTTGGTCAGTTCACTTGTTTTTTCTCTTTTGCAGTGGTCTTTAGCATTAATAAATGACTTATCAGTTGATCTCTGTGGGGAATAAGATCTGGTGCTCATGTTTCAGGAAGTAAAAGTTAGCCAGTCAAATGGGAAGCAGAAGATGGCAGGATTTGGAGTCTTCTGTCTTGATATTAGGACATCTTGCCTCTGATTGGCTAACAGCAATGTGACTCTACCACTGACTCTGTTCTGCAATATTAATGTTTTACCTCCACCAATAACACGAGACTGAAGGAGTTCTACTATTGTGGAGTTGCTAATGCTAATAGTTAGCTTTTGCTAGATGAGACATTGTCTGCTCTTCCCTGTCATGATTCAAAATGGGTGCACCCCTGCTAAGTGACAGGGTGATGTCTCACTGTCAGGCTATTGAAATCCTAGTTTTACCACCTATTTTCTATTGGAAGCTAATGCAGGAGATAGGCGTAGGAGGCTATTTTCATGTTCATCCTGAAGGAAAAACTCTGAGTGACCAATTTTAATAAAAAAAATCATCAAAAATGGTTTTTCAGTGAACTACACTTTTAATGAATGCCTTGTGAGTCGATCTCTGTGGGGAAAAAAGCTCTGGCGCTCATGTTTCAGGAAGTAGAAGTTAGCCAGTTGAGATTAGAGCAGAAGACAACAGGATTTGGAGTCTAATGTCCTCATATTTGAGGCGACGGTGGCACAGGAGTTAAGTGCTCACCCCGTAACCGGAAGGTTGCAGGTTTGAGCCCCGTTCAGTCTGTCACTGTCGTTGTGTCCTTGGGCAAGACACTTAACCCACATTGCCGGATGGTGGTGGTCGGAGGGACCGGTGGCGCCAGTGCTTGGCAGCCTCGCCTCTGTCAGTGCGCCCCAGGGCAGCTGTGGCTACATCGTAGCTCATCCCCACCAGTGTGTGAATGGGTGTGTGAATGGGTGAATGACTGATTGTGTTGTAAAGCTCCTTGAGGGTTTCCATTACTCTGGAAGGTTCTATATCAAATACAGGCCATTTACCATATTTGGACATCCCTCCTTTGATTGGCTAACAGCAATGTGACTAACACTGACTGTTTTCTTTGCAACATTGATGTTTTATCTCCAGAAATAACTCAAGCCTGAAGGAGTGAAGGAGTTCTGCCATGTTGTGGAGTTGCTAATGCTAACAGTTAGCTTCTACTAACTGAGACATTCTCTGCTCACGAGCCAAAATGGGTGAATCCATGAATGTTAAGTACAGTGTGACGTAGATCTGAGTGGCTTTACTAATCTGAGCATTGTCCCATCTATTTTCTATTTGCAGCTGTTTCAGGAAGTAGGATAGAAGAATATTTCCACGTTCAGCCTGCATGTGAAACTCAGAGTCACATTTAGAAAATAGCAAAAAAGGCCGGTTTCTCAGTGAACTTGGTCTTTAACTGTGTTTAAATGTCTGATTTTAACACTGAGCAAAAAATTCAACAATTGGTTTAATTTAAAAACATTTTCAGGTTCAGAAATGCCGTACATCAGCTATTATTTGATGAAGTTATTAGATTAGCTGAAAATAGTATGGAAAACATCTACATATCGGCCATGAACATCAGCCCAAAAATAAATCAACTATGACCGCCACCAGTATCGGTATCTAGGACAGGAAAGTCCATATCGGTCCATTTGTATTTGTTTTATTTGTTTTCTCTCTTTTCATATCAGAGCAGATGTGAAAATGATGAAAAACTATATTTATACATCCATGCAATACAAAGCAGATCTTTGATACTTTCATACCCCACTACCACCACTCTCCCCAGCCATGTGCATTTAGAACAAAGAGACTATTTTCAACCCACAAATGGAGAAAGTACATTTGTAAAGGGTTGGGGGCTCGTGTTTGCTTTAGGGTGATCAGTGACACATTTAAATCCTAAAACTGAAAACAATGTAAAGCAGCATTAGGACAAAATGTAGCTTTTATCTTCATGTGTGCATCTAAAACATTGCCATATGGTAATGGTGACTTTTAATTAGTTTATTTAATCTCAAAGAAGATTAGCAGGAAAGCAAGAGTTTGTGTATTGAGGTGCACAAATACAACAACAAAGCCCCAAAACAACAGGGGAAATGATTTCTTTCTTTTTTCTTCACCCACTTTATCTTGCTCAGCTTTGCAGGAAGCTGCAGACTACCACTGCTCTCATCAGCAAAAAGATGAGGTGCACCCTGGACACGTTAGTCCATCACAGGGACAACAGAGAGACACAACCAGCTAGGAGCACTCACACAAACACCCGGATTGTCACATGTTATAGGTAAGAAACTTGTTTTTGGGATGTGAAAATACCCAAATGTAATCCAAAATTTGAAATGAAAACAAAAAGACAGCAACAAAAGCCCAAAAATGAAGAAAATTACTACTTTTTTGATGAAACATGGACTAAAAGAACATAATAAAAAAAGAAAACCTCTTATAATGCCCTAATGTTTCTGTTTCGCTGCTCTGTTTTGTGAAATGTCAGTTATTCTTGTTTTATTGCTGCTGAAAAGCCAACTTTTCTGATTATTCCGAATTTCTTTGACTCTAAAGTTATTATAAAGATCCACAGTTTTTAAAGCCATTTAACATCTAAACTCTCTCCAAGATTGAGCACCGCTCAGCTCTCAGAATTCTGTGTATTTTCAGAGGATTAACATCCACTTCATTACACAATTAGGTGATTAGTCCCTCTCACTTCCTTTTGTCTGGCAGCCAACCAGGACAGCTTTTTGAACACTTCCAGTTCTTTTCCTGGCAACATTTTAACAGTTCAGGATTCGTTCTTTACACACTTTAATTTTCATAGCTTTTCCTAACAAAGTCCTCAGTAAAATCAGAGAAAAGTAAACACACGTGACAACAACCGGGAAAAGACCCTTCAGATAAAGGGAAATGCGTTGCAATTAACTGAAATTACGTCTCTGCACTTCCAGGACGTGAATGTTTATGTTTTTAAGAAGAAAAACAAACACGTCGCCATAAATGTCAATAAGCAGCATTAAGAGCTGAATCAAGAGGATGGATACCTGACTTACCGTCTGCAAGCAGCCGCACCGCATGAACGAACGACGGATCCATGCTGTTTTTCTCGGCCACCAGCTCAGGTAAGCAGCACTTCTCCGGATGCATTGTGATGACGGCGGACCTCTCCACGAGCCGCGCAGGTGAGACGAGGGGTGTGCTGAGCGTCGGAATGCAACTAAAGGTCCTCTTTCCAGCGCTCTGGTGGCTGATTGTCTTAAATTAGCAGCGGAATAAATGAAAAAGCTTGAGGGAAAAGTCCGCTTGTCTCCGCTTTCCGGTGCACCTGAGTGGAAAGTGAGCAGTGATTCAGAGGTGTGAGCCCATCTCTGCCTCTGTCTTCTCTCCTCGGCGAGCCGCCAGACTCTCAGCCTCCCAGGGTCTGCAGCCTGCACTCCTCCCCGCCCCGCAGCCACATTATTGGCCGCATTCTGGGACTGGCATTAATAAAAGGAACAAGAGGGGCGAAAACTCGCAGTTGGCGCATAAGATCCGATTAGATATACAGTATGGAAATGTTGGCCAGGATATCGCGCCAACTACTTTTACGCACAAGACAAAAATAATAATAAAAGCTATCAAAGTCACAATTAAAGAATCCTGCAAGGGTTTTGGTTTGGAAAAGTGTTATTTCCCTCTTTGTGTAAAAGCGAGTCCATTTTGTTGTAAAACCGTCCAAACATTTTTATTTTAACATAATTACTCACATAGTTCTTAGCTGAAGTCCGCATTTCCCCCCGTGTCATTTAATTTGTATGTTAAACTAATGATAAACTAATTTAATTACCTTACTAATGATCGTCTGAGTCGCGTTGTGGTTTGAGAGCGTTCATTGAAGTAGCCTGTAGAAACAGCGCCCCCTGCAGGACGAATGAAACTCTTGCGTTTGTGTCGCTGTCCGTGGTGCTGAACTCAGCATGCGCTCACAGGACGCTCCCCGTTCTTCTTTTATGGAATTTTAAAGAACAATAAAGTTTTTTCTGTCGTTCTTATAGTGAATTTTGCTGTTTTTGTGTCTACTTTAATGAATTTGGTTTAAACTAACATTGTGCTTGTGTTGTCTCACATGGCCGGGTAACTTTTGATAGTGGTTCCCCTTAATAGATAAAATCATCCCTGCTTTTTGTATTTACTCAGGTAATGTTTGTCTGACTTTGTTTGTTTGTCCGTCTATTTGAAACAATGAAGTGTGACGAATAAAGAAAAAAGACAATACTTGTATTACCGGATTGCCTCAATACTGGAGTGAGTAAATAGCATTTGCCTCTCTTTCCTACAAGCACATTAACTTAATCTTCAGTCATCTTCAGCTCAGCATGCTGGCTGCTTTTCTTGCTCACAAATGAGATTTGAGAGCAAATGAGGCTGAGGGACCAATCCTAGCTCCACTTGACCTTTAAAGTTGTTTCTCTTTGCACTGCAGACAGTAGTTTTTCACAAGTCTAAGTTAATTGTTTTGCTGTTATTTATGTCTCTTCTTTAATAGGCCGAGAGGTTCATTGTCCAAATTAAGGATTTTGGAGCTGTGCACTGAAACAGCTAATTGTCTGGAAAAGTCAGACTTGCAGTTTCTGATGGGTTTTGTGGCACATTAAGGAGTAAAACTCATAAAATCTGAAATTAAATAAGTTTAAATATTAGCAACACATTTCCCTTTCATTATATGTCTTAATTTAACCAGTATGTTTGCTGATCCTTTTAATATAATGAACTTGCTGCTTACATAATGCTTTAAAATAATCTATTGAGGGCTAAATCATTTTATCATTCTCACATATGGTGGATATGAAAAGTATTCAGACCACCATCAATTTTTCACTCTTTGTTATACTGCAGCCCTTTGCTAAAATAAATTAAATCCTGTTTTCCTTATTAGTGTGCACACAGAACCCCATATTGACAGAAAAGCCAATGTTACAAAAAATATCTGCTGCACTTAAGGTTCCTAAGAGCACAATGGCCTCCATAATACTTAAATGGAAGACATTTGGGATGACCAGAACCCTTCCTAGAGCAGGCCGTTCAACCAAACTGAGCTACTGGGGATGAAGATTCTTGGTGAGAGAGGTAAAGAAGAACCCAAAGATTACTGTGGCTGAGCTCCAGAGATGCAATCAGGAGATGGGAGACAGTTGCAGAAAGTCAATCATCCATGCAGCCCTCCACCAGCTTTATGGCAGAGTGGCCTGTTTGAAGCCTCGCCTTGGTGCAAGACACATGAAAGCCCACACAGTTTGCTAAAAGACACCTTTAACGTTACACGGAAGCATTGAATGCTAGCGCCAAGGCTAACCGACGGCGCTAACCCTTTAGCATCTAATTTATTACACTTTCCACACAATCACCTTCACTCACCGAACAGCAACACAGAGGTGCTATCCTTTAAACGAAAGTCTTGGGTGCTTTTAAAGAGAAATATTTGACTCTCAGATCCACGGAAATCACTCATTAGATAGCATAAGAGTAGCGTGAGCCATCTGCGTGCACTTCGCTGACGTCTCAGCGCCAGGACATTCTAGAACACTTGGTCACCAACCTTTGAGCGCTACTTTGCGACCTTTGAACTATAATTATTCAGAGTTATGTTTAGTTTAATATTTTGGTATATTTAAAAAAACTATTAGTTTTAGAATGTATTTATTTTTGTGCTAAAAGATTAGTGGTATGTGGATAAAGTAAAAGTTGATCTGGTAGTAGTCATGTTGACCGCTGTCACGTCACCGCATGCTGACACAGGCCCCCAACCTGTGAAGAGCGACGAGCTTCAGCCGTACTGGTGAGCTACTGGTAGTTCAACCCCCCAAAGCAACCCCTCAGCTGAGTGTCAAGCGGGGGCGGTAATTGGTCCCATTTTTACGGTCTTCGGTATGACCCGGCCGGGGTCGAACCCCGACCTCCCAATCCCAGGGCGGTCACTCTACCACTAGGCCACTGAGACGGGTATAAGAAAAGGTCTGTAGGCACGTTATATGGTTACTGAAGGTTCCATGCAGGTGAATCCTGTTCATGATAATGGATGAAGACCAGTCACAAAGTGACTTGATAATTACATAAAAACATTCATCGTGATATTGAGTTGTAGCTAATTTAATAAAGAAGCTTGAGATACTGTGTGTGTGTGTGTGTGTGTGTGTGTGTGTGTGTGTGTGTGTGTGTGTGTGTGTGTGTGTATGTGTGTGTGTGTGTGTGTGTGTGTGTGTTTGTGTGTTGGGGGGGGAGAGGAGGGGGGCTTCGTTGTTTTCTAGCGTTGTTCGTGGGGTGGGGGGCATTTTTTTAAATAATTTATTTTGATGTCAAAATTTTACAATGGAGCCCTTGGATAATTCAAATGTGTAGGATTAATTGATTAAATGAAAAGTGAGTAATTACGTAAAGGTCCATCCTGGACAGATCAGGCTCTTCTTTCCTCGTGGATGGCCTTGTGGATCCTGGTGGTGGTGGTGACTCACACTCACAAAAATATTTAACCAGAAAAATTAGGACTTATGTAATGTTTTTACATGACAAATTCTCATATACTTTTTTAGGTAATTTCTTGACAAACCTAGCAAATATTCTACATGGTGCATATTCATTAGTGTAATAAAGCCTATTTAATTGAAACACATAATGCTTAAGTTTATGTATTTAGCATTAATAAAGTGTAATTACTCTAAATTAATAAGGAGGGTATTTTCAAATAGATAAATAATATTGTTTGAATTGTCTTACATGTCAGTTAGGCAGGGTATGTGTTTCTCCCTTTGTTTTTCCTCTTTCTCTCCCCTCTCCATGTCCCTTTTTACACAGGGTGCAGAGACTAGGTGTGGCGGCCCTGGATTGGCTGACTACTTTCACCTTAGACCAATTGTGGAGCAGGGCAGATGATAAAAGGAGGCTCCCCTGAAGAGCATAGAGACTCTTCCTCCCACATGCTGCTGCTTGATTAACCCACCTGTGTTCTGTGGGTTAATCAATAATGTTTTTGGATCCATCTATTTTGTAGAGAAGTTTAGCTGAGGCTTTTGTTTGATCCCTTTGTTCAGTTAGAAGGGTAGATAGGATCTATTTTGTTTTATTAATTTCATTCTTTAGGCACCACCTAACTGTCACTGTCTCCCCCTCCTCCACAGTGGTACCTGCAGCATCCACATAAACAGAACAGCAATAAAAGCTGTGATAAACTGAAGTTTGTGTGTGGAGTGTCATTCCTTATGGTTGTCCAGTTACTACCTTCTCACCTTCCTGGCCTGGAAGGACGGATGGGGAGTGGGGGTCTGTAACAATTGCATAATAATCAGGTTGCCTATGCCGGATAAATAGCACATGTTTATTTGAATTACATGTCATTTATACTTGTGTAATAAACCAAACTATTCAAAATGCATCATATTTAGTTATTTTCTGTTTAGTACAAACAATAATGATTAAGAACATTCAGATCACCTTGTTTAAACAATTTTTATTAGTATTAAAGCCTCTCAACATCCATGACATGAAACTCAAAGGACAGAACACATCCTTGTGGTCCACTTTAAATTTTTAATGAATAATCCATGTACAACTACTTCCATTTTTCTAATCCATCTCACTTCTCTCCATCCCCGCTCATTCTACTTTTTCTCCATCCAGAGTAATACATGTGAGTGACTAACCATACAGCTATACAGCTGAGGCAATAGATTTTTACAGCACATGTTGCTGAGAACAATAACACACTTGACATGTAGACTCATCCATTTGCAACTAGGGCTTGTTATGGTCTCTGTAATTTTCATCAGCCCTCCAGTTATGCTGTTGTTGTGGCTCCCTGTGTCCCTGGTATTCCTGTCGTTCAGCACCAGAGACAGATCCTGCTCCACAACTCTCTCCCAGGAGGCTGCAGCCGGTTCAGCACCAAGGAGAGAGGCACGCCCGACCCAGCAGCAGAAACAGCTGAAAACAATCGGCTCATCTGTCTTGAAGAGCCATCCTCACCTGAGGATACTTAAGCAGGCTCCCAGTGACATTTGACATAGACCAACTCTATTGTGCTCCTTAGCTAACATTGTGGATTTACTTTACTCCAAGAGCTATTCAATTCTGGGCCTGCTCTCTGAGTCGATGCCTCACACTGCACATGCGCAGTTCATTCCCTATCCTAATATTTTGCTAACCTGCAGGAAATGTCAAGGACAAAGTTCTACAGAAAGAAGCAAAGAGTTATCAGAAATGTTTCTAAGTTGTTCACTAGTTGCTAAGGATAAGTCAAGAAGGGGGTCTGAAGGGCTGTTAGAAGTAGCGACAAAGTTGCAAAGATGACAACTCTGTGCACCAAAACAGAATTCATAAGGACCCCAAGATGGTGAGAAATACGATTATCTGGTCTGAGGAGACCAAGATAGAACTTTTTGCCCTTAATTCTAAGTGATATGTCTGGAGAAAACCAGGCACTGCTCGTCACTTGTCCAATACATTCCCCACAGTGAAGCATGGTGGTGTCAGTATCATGCTGTGGAGGTGTTTTTCAGCTGCATTGACAGAACGACTGGTTGCAATCAGGGGAACGATGAAGGCCATCAAGTACAGGGGTATCCTGGACAAGAACCTTCTCCAGAATGCTCAGGACTCTGGCCAAAGGCTTACCTTCCAACATGACAACGACCATAAGCACACAACTAAAAGAACAAAGGAGTGACTTCATGGCAACTCTGTGACTTTTCTTGAATGGCCCAGCCAGAGCCCTGACTTAAACCCAATTCTCTCTCTCTGGAGAGACCTAAAAATGTCTGTCCACCAACGTTCACCACACATCACGTTCATCACATCTGACAGAACTGGAGAGGGTCTGCAAGGAGGAATGGTTGAGGATCTCAAATCCAGGTGTAAGAAACTTATTGCATCTTTACCAAGAAGACTCTGTATTAGCTCAAAAGGGTGCTTCAATTACTGAGCAAAGGGTCTGAATTCTTAGGACCATGTGGTATTTCAGTTTGTCTTTTTTAAGAAATCTGCATAAATTAAAAAAATTCTGTGTTTTTCTGTCAATATGGGGTCCTGTGTGTACATTGAGGAAAAATTAATTTATTAAAAATTAAATTAAAAATTAATTTATTTGATTTTTGCAAATTACTGCAATGTAACAGAGTGAAAATATTTTCCATACCTACTGTACGTGTTTGCCATTAATGCTGGTTAGTGTTAATGTGATTTGTGTTGTAATGCATGCACTATTAATAGATGCACGACTTTTTATGTTCATGTCAGTTTCTGCATATACGGTTAGTCTTGTTTTCAGTTTTTTCTTTGATAATGCTACTTTTTTCCTCTCGTATAGCAATAAAGTAATATCTTAAAGTAATATCAAAACTGACTAGAGTGGTCATATTACAATATATTAGTATCACATTTAGTTTTTGATGTAGAGAAGACTGTAAGGGAAATTTTTGTTTCTCTCCTGCTAAACAATTTAATTTTGATTTTAAGTAACAAAAGAGGAAATTGTACCTATAGCATGAATTAAATAATATGCAACACAAACATTTTGTCAAAAAAAAACCTGATTCAGATAGGAGTTTTTTTGTGTTTGATTCTGTGTTTTTCTTTTATTGTTGGCAGCACTGCATGTCTCCAAATTGAGACACAACTCAAATTTTCTGCTTGACAGCTTGAAACAATGAACTGCTGACCAGCGCTCATCACTATTCGTCTTTGGGTTTCATGCTGACTAGATGTTAGCAGATTGCAATTTCAGTCAGTGAAATCATTCACTTCTGTAACATTAGCGAGACACCACCTGGAATGCTGTGCATGTCTATTATTTAAAACAGCTTTTAAAAATTTTGTGTTTTCTGATTTTAATAACCTATTTATCTCATGACATTTTGTGGTTTTGTTTTTATAATCATTTTATGATTTGTTTTGTTTACCTTTGTGAAACACGTTGTGATTTATCTTTCTGTGATAAGTGCAACATAAATAAACTTCTATAACTTACTATCAACACTCCACCACCATGACACTACACACAAGAGAAAAAATGTACTATTTATGTATTCATTTGTTTGTTTGCTTATTCATTCATTTATATATATTTTTTGTTTGTTTTGTTTAAGCTCATTTTTGTGATGTTCAATTTTCTGGTTTTCTAATTCCTTTCCTGGAAATCCAATCGTGGATTTTTACCGCCATCTAGTGGTCATTGTTTGACCTTACATATCACAGCAGCAGATGCAAGACTGACTTCTTCCATTTTTCCTCGGCTTTTACAACGTTTTCGGTATGATTTCTGCTTCTCATATTTCATCCTAATTGTTTAAAATTTTAAACTGATCATGATTTTTCCTTGGTCTGGGGATTGCACGAATTTTAAGCCTGTTGAGCACTTTTGAGTCAAATCAAGACTTTTTTTCCCACAAAATTTAAGCTATCAAAAGACTTGAATTATTATATAATTATATTTCAATCGGGAAAACAAAGGGTCCTGTCGGAAGACTGGAATTACGTCAGACGTTACGTAAGTGTGACGCATGCGCATGTTCCAGTCGTCCTGTTGAAGTCACGTGGTGTCAGTCGGGAGATCTCCATGGGAGTAGGGTGGGAAATTGATTAAAAGGTAGGTGATTTTTTTTGCGTTAATACTTGCTGATTCAGTAAGGTGTGAAATAAGAAAAAAGATCACTGACAACGATTCAACAGGTGCAACGTTAAAAAAATGTCAAGAGAAAGCCTAACAATAATAAAAAAAACGTATTATTGCTGCTTGTAACCACAGAAATTCTGAAATGTTGCTGCAAAAAGAGGATTTTGCGTCCAACTCTAAAACAAATTTCAAATTTAACACTAAGAAAACAACCCAGCATATTTTTACTTTAAATAATAAACTTAGAACAAGTAGAACATTTGATAAATGAACTACAACACCTAAGTCAAGTTCAAAGTTCTGAGTGTTTTTTCTTATCAGCAGCAGGAAAAAAAAAAGGTAATTATTATTAGCCTAGAGAACTAGACCAAATTCTTGCCTTGCAAGATATACCCTATATATTCACATGGCTTGCCAGGCTAACTTATGTCTTTGAGTGAAAAATGCAAAAAACAAATGAAAATTATAGTTATTTTTATGTGTGTTGATCTAGACCAGAGGTTTACAGCTGCTGCTTAGTTTTGTTAGGATACTGGAATTGAATTTCCACATCAGAATGACAATTACCAGAAAGTACTGGTAGTATTAGATGCATTTATGTGTTTTACATCATTTTAGCACAAATAACATCCCGTAGTAAAAAGTTGCAAAAGATTTTTTTTCTTAGTTTTAAAAATCAATAATAGAAACAATGTTTCTGTTTATTTCCTCTCAAAATAACTAATCTCTTACGGGAGTAGATATCTATGGAGGAGGAAAAAAAGATGATCTAATAAATTTAATGAGATAATCTCAGTGGCCCTGCTCCTGCTCTATATGTAACATAAATTACAGATGGTCTCTTTCCAACAGGTCCTGTAACAGCTGTGAACTTGTGACTTTGCAGACCTCTGGTCTAGAAACAGTTACGCTGAACTTAACACACATTCCAGCCTTCTGAGTGTGTATTAAAGTAGAAGTTATGATTTAAACTGTATTTTTTAGTTGACTTGTTTTACCTATCACTCATGTGGTTTACCCCCACACCCTCAAGATCATAAACATGCCCGCAGTCTTGCTTGTGCACGGCGGAGCATGGGCCATACCGGAGGAGCTGGCCAAGGCTTCTGTTGACGGCGTGAAAAGTGCAGCGTGTGAGGGCTTCTCTGTGCTGAGACGTGGAGGAAGTGCACTGGATGCTGTTGAGGCTGCCGTGAGGGCTTTGGAAGACAACCCAGATTTTAATGCTGGTATTGATCAAAAGCACATTCACACAAGTTTAGACAAACTTGTTATATTTGATAGGATCTATAATAGACAAACAAAGTTAGCAAGCTGACGTAAGCACATACCTTTACTGCTGTAGCACAGTTTTGCCTCCATCTTGTGGACTCCTGAGGTTATTGCAGTCAAAATAAAACGTTTTATGCTCCTGAACATTCAAATGAGGGTAGGCCTTATGCTGAATGTATTGTTACCCTGTAGGGCATGGAGCAACACTAAATATTGATGGAGAAGTAGAGCTGGATGCCATCATCATGGATGGAAGGACTCTAGCTTGCGGTGCAGTGTCATCAGTCAAGAACATCGCCAATCCCGTGTCACTGGCAAGAGCAGTGATGGAGAAGGTATTTATTAAATATCAATTCTAATTTTTACATTTTGTAATGATGCCATCTCTATATTATATTGTGCATTTTGATTATTTGTTGTGTCAAGTAGAATTTTTAATGAATGATCGTATTATTTCAGACGTCCCATGTCATGCTGACAGGCCGAGGTGGTAACCTTTTTGCAGAGAGCATTGGTGTCGGCTCCGTTCCCTCAGATTCCCTGGTTTCTGATCATGAACGAACAGAGTGGAGTAAGATGGATAATTATGACGCTGAAGTGCTGACAGATTTCAACTCTAAGTGGTATGTGTGACTTGATGTTCCCGCCTGAGTTTCTGTTTCCACTAGAATTTCTGATTCCTTTTAAGAAAGACTAGAGAAATAAAAACTGAGCTGAAAAAAGCAGAGCCTACTTATTTAACCACATTAGATCTAGTTTGCTTAAAGATGAACGAATTTCCAGCGTACAAAAAAAGGCTAAAACTCTCCAAACCCGTTGTGAAGTCAACAAATCAGTGGAACAACGATGCTGTAGATGAGCTTCGCACATGCTTAGAGAACACAGACTGGGCTGTAAGGAGGGCTGCCACCATCGACATATAAACTGGACAATTCATGTCTATAGGCTAGAATTATACGTTTTTGTTCCCACCACCGCCATTTTGACCATGTCATGGGTCCCGTCACGCCCAGACATTCAAACGACCTTTGGAACGGGGTTGGAACAAATGAACCAGTGTAGCTGCTAGCTAACTTGGCTAACCCAAGGAGCTAAGGGCTTCTTGGATCGGGGAATCTCACCCGCACAGCAGACTGGCTCTCATGCGAGGATGTAGTCGCTGATCGCCTGTGGAGATCTAATATGGACTAGGACTGTTAAATTACAGGCAGAGCTCCAGAGCGCTGCGATCATTGCGGGGCATTGTGGCCTTTTACATCAGCTCTTGCTCCACGGTCGAAGATAAGCAAGACATTAGCTACATGCTAACCCAAAGCTAACAGGGTTTTCTGGCTGTTTTCAGCAAGAAAAATGCGGTAGAGCTACTCCAAAGTAAAGGCACTTCCGGCCTGCTTAGTAACGAAATCATAACTAGGTAAGCTGATCGCGGATATTGAGCTTCGCTGGTCCACCGTGGTGAAAGATCCGCGTGTCCGCTGTTGTTGATGGTCCCTTCTCCAGGAGCTAGAGATCAGCGGGACATACTAACATACGAACCTGAAGCCAACAGAGTTTTACGGGTGTTTTCAGCGAGAAAATGCAGTTGAGTGACTCAGAAGTGAAGCAGGGTCAACAAAAAGAGCTGCAGTGTTTCTGTGGTCTCCCTCAGAGATCCAGCATGACTACAGCTTCGTGTCGGAGCCGGCCCGGCTGCCCCGAGAAACGGGAGGGAACAGGCAGCCGCCTGCTATTCTCAGGCAGGAGACAGGAGAAGCTGGGCACCTGCTCAAGGTTCTTATGCAGCCCCACTAACATGTCTGACACAGCATTTCCCCCCCCATTCAACCAGCAAAATAAAGTATAGAAACAGAAATTTACTTACTGATAAAAAGAAGCAGAAACTGCTTGGATGATCTGTTAGTAACCACAGCGTGCCCTTTTGTCCAACTAATGCCATGATTAACATCCAAACACGATCACAATCACACAGACAAAACTAAAGATCAGAGAGCCAAAATGGCCGAACACCTATTAACGTGAGGCCGAGGCTCAGGCTGAGACCTTTCTCCGGAGCTAGCTCTGAAGTCATGTGGATGCTCATTAATTATTCACATTTTAAGCATTAAGTTCCACTTGAACAAAATAGTTATCCCCCCTCCAGAGTTGTCATTAATATAAACTAGATCTATTAAACCTAAAATGTTTTTTTTTTAACCAGGCTGTAGACATGTTTATTTCTGCTGTAAAAAGTGCATTTTTAATATGGGAGGCAATGAGGATTTTCTCTCTTCTGCTGCCAGCCCCTATGGGGGCTACTATGAGGGTGGAACTGCAATTTTGCCACTTCTTTTTTGGCTTCAAATTTAATGCAGAAGGGCAGCTTGACACTTTAGAATACACAGATATCGTCGCCTCCTACATCCACTTCTGCCAGGACAGCATCATACCATCACGCACCAGGTTGAGTTATAACAACGACAAAGCCTGGTTTACCCCAAAACTCAAACAGGCGTGGTTACAAAAGAAAGAAACTTTGAAAAGTCGGCACAAGGACTTCTACAGAAATGCTAAATACAGGTTCAGCAAAGAATTGGCCAAAGCTAAACACCAGCTTCATGACCAAATGCTGCAGCAGATCTCTGAAAACGACCCGGCCTCTGTGTGGAAAGTTTCAGAAACATCACTGACTACAAACCCAGATCCCCCACATCTACTGACAATCTGCTCTTGGCCAACAGCCTAAACAACTTCTAATGTCAGTTTGATGCGCCATCAGGAAGTTCTCACAGCTCATACAGTCCCAACCCCTCACTCCAGAGCCGTCACCATCACTGTAGAATTTACCCTCAATACCCTCCTCCTCACCCCCCACCCAGGAAATTCTCATATCACACACCTCCACCACAACCCTACACATCCGTGAGGCAGATGTGAGGAAGCAATTCAAGACTCTAAATGCACGAAAAGCCCCCAGCCCTGATGGTGTATCTCCTGCCACTCTAAAGCCTGGTTTATACTTCTCCGTGAGCTCCGCAACAGAGAGACGCACATGGAGTGTTGGAAAGGTTTTCACATTCAAACTTCTGTTCAGGCAGTGGAGCGTTGAAAAGTAATTCCCCGCCAGGACAACAGAGGGAGTAGCGTTTTTCTGTGGTATGCTACCACCATAACATTCGTGTATCTGGTCCACGATCATGTATTTACTAATGTGTTTATGTATTTCAGAGACTTTATAACACGGACAAATGTGTCCTTCGTTCTCATCCACCTCTTCATGCGCACGTCACCTCTAAACCCACTTTTCTCATCGTTTCCGTCCACGTTTGCTCCGTATTTTGTAATCATTCCTTCACGGGTGAAGAAACGTTCTTATTTTCAGACTTTATCCCTGATGCGTTCTTCAATCTGTTCTGGGTCAGCTGCTAAATATTTTTTTAACGAGGCAATGGCGGTGCTGGTGAGGAATTTACAGAAAGCAGCATACTGATCAATCACAAGTTTGCGGTCTCCGTCACTTTCGACGGATGTTTAAAATGTTGGGCAATTCTCCATCACCCTTTGTGAGCCCGTCGGAGAGCCCTTGCGCCGAAGCATAATGGCGTTGTGTGTCTCCACAGACGGAGAAGTATAAATCAGGCTTAAAGCACTGTGCTAAAGCGCTGACCCCAGTGTTTACGGGCATTTTAAACTCCTCACTGGAGGCATGTCATGTGCCCGCCTGCTTCAAGATCTCCACCATAGGAGACATAATCAGGATGGCTCGACAATAACACAATTAGAGTCCACAAGAAACCAAGGATCACTGATTACAGGCCTGTGGCTCTGACATCTGTGGTCATGAAGTCATCTGCATAACCACGATAGGCAATGTTGTTATTGTGTATGACCTGACCCAGGGCGAGCATGTAGATATTGAAGAGCGTGGTCCAAGAATTGAACCTTGAGGGACCCCATGTGTCATGGTGTTCAGCTTTGATTTGTGATCACCAATAGAAACAACAGAACCACTGTCTTCAAAATAGGATTGGAATCAACTATGGACTGTGCATGAAAGGCCCACCCAGGTTATGAGCTTATCAAGAAGGATGTTGTGGTCCACAGTTTCAAAAACCGCACTGAGTAAGAGCATCGTTAGGATAGATGTTTTGCCTGAACATGTAGTTAGACAACTATCTTTTAACACCTTAAACAGTCAAGTCTCAGTGCTGTGGTGTTGTCTAAAGCCTGACTGGAAACTATCTAGCAGGCAATAAGTGAAATTATTCTGAACAAACCTTTACTTGAATCTAATTCTGTTGGATCCTCTGCTGTGTCAGACTGTATCAAAGGAAAGACTTACCAAGCAGTGGGAATCAAGAGGACTTGTCAGTCTCAGTTGATTTTGACAAAAGAAACCAGCACAGCAGTAAATCCTTTTTCACTCAGCGTCTGACACTAAATACAAAGCTCCAAGTCAGATCTGCTGCATATGGCATGCAGTGCATATTACTCTTTTAATGTAAGAACATGTTTCCTCTCCCAGGGCTCATGATACTGTGGGGGCTGTAGCTGTGGACTCGGCTGGTAATGTTGCTTGTGCAACATCAACTGGAGGCATCAGGAACAAAATGGTCGGCAGAGTTGGAGACTCTCCCATTGTTGGTGAGATTTTGGATTTCATGCCAGAGGTGGAGCGGTACCAACTAGATACTGTAGCGTTGATAATCTACATAACCAGGATTTAACGCTGTTGCTATTCAGCTTTGTTAGTTTCTGAGAAAGATCAAACAAATTAGCAAATGAAGCTTATATCATGTATAAAAATCCAGGATATTTATATAATCGATAGAAGTTCATACACCAACGGGCTTGGTCTATATTTAATCCAAAAATTAAAATTTAATTTAAGATATTTATAGCAAAAGTTTATTTATTAAACCAGAAGACTTAATGGAATCTTTGCTTGTTCAATTAATATACACCACTCTGTGTTTTGTTTCAAAGAAGAGTCAGGTTAAAAAAAGTTAAGAATTTATTACTAACAATTTAAAGATGACAATTTAAATGACAATTTATAAATGACAATTTATAACAGCTTTGATATTAAAACTTGGTATTAAAAGCAATCTGTGTCTGGGTGAAAACTAAAACGAAATGCGTGCATTTGGATGCGTGGATGGAATCTCAGAAGGTTCCTATCAGAGAGAGAAACGCATTCTGGGTGAAAGAGTTTGTCTTGCAGCTAACGAAGTTATTTCTTAAAGAGAACAGCATCGGACGCAATCTATGTTCTACCTCACCGATCAGACGACCCTCTGTGTGGATCCGGAGGTCAAAGGGAGGATGTTGTCAGCCTCTGGGTACTCGGTCCGGTGTCGGTACAAGATCTGCTCGGGTGCAAGATCGGCTTGGGGTCCGTCGGCTGCCGATGACGTCAAAGTAGTTGATTGGCTGAACATGAACCTTACGGAATTACGTAATCACGTTACGTTGTTATCACATTACGTTAGTCCAATTGGAAAGATGGATATAACTTTTACAAAGAAATCCATCATTACCTCTTTTAAAATACACTTTTAGCATAGAGCTGCATGTGTATTAGGGCTGAACGATTACTGCATGTGCAATTAAATTGCGATGTGACAAAAAGAGATTTTCTAATCGCAAATTCTGCAATTTGGCAGCGAGTGGTTAGCGCAATGCTAATATACGTGGAAAAACCCATAGGAATGCTAATGCTAATATCACAGATATACATTATACATTATTACAAATTATGAATTAGAAACGTGCCAAATGATTACATTTGGAGTCTAATAGAAAGTAAAACTACCATCAATCAAATAAGTACAGACAGGTATTTTAGTAAAGCCAGAAAACTTTTAACTCCAGAGTTTTGGCTAGCAGCTATGAGCGTACCTGAACTACGCATGGACAAGACGTCAAAAACTCTAAACACAAAATACTTCAATAAACGGGACACACTTCTTTCCTGCAAATACAATACAGAGCAGTTACCTTTAACCTGAATTCAGTCCTGCATGGTGTGTATAAGTGTACATGACCTTCTAGTTACTGATCAAACATTACTGACTATCATAAATAATAATAATTATTAACCAAAGAATAATAATTCCTTTCAGTAATTAAATATATTTATAATGATTAGCTATGAACCTTGTAATAAACAGTGAAAAGAGTTTATTAAAAATGATTATTTTAAATCTTGAAGTGTCCATCTTGGGACGGAACAGCAGACAGATGAAAGGCAGTCAGATTAAAGATGGTTTAGCAGACTTATGTCTCCTGTGATGGATAATCTGTGGACAGAAGTACAGCTTGACCCAGCTCGACCTAGCTGGGGAAGTGTGACCTTTGGGTCACAAATGAGGCCATTCATGTCACTACAATACAGTTGGACTTGCCTCAACACGTAGCATTGGTTCTGGCACCAAAACCCTTCAGAGGGGTTGGACTCTGCTTTCCTGAAGTTGACCAAGAGCCAGTATCCTAGACTCTTGACATACATGTTGTGGTTTATTGCATGGGTGAGGAACCCTAATCATGGAGGGCTGGTATTCAGCATGTTGTAGTTGTTTCCCTGCTCCAGCACCCCTGATTCAGTGGCTTAATTATCTGTTTAGACTTCAGGCTCTGCAGAAGCCTGTTAATCACCCGCTGGTTAAAATCAGGATGGTTGAAGCAGGGAAACAACTGAAACATGCTGAATAGTGGCCCTTGAGGGACCAGGATTCTCCATCCCTGCCCTAGGGATAGCTTCCCTGTACTTTTGGATCAGTTGAAGGATCCTGAGAGTTGTTTTTCTTATACGCTAAAAGGCAGCTCAGACTTCCCACCATTTTTGGGGGCTGTAGGACAAAATCTCAGGTTGTGGTCAAACCAGGAACTCCATTATCCTGTTGGTGGTTTTCAATGCTCCTGTTGGCAGTGACAGTATAATCTGGAGGGGTGTGATTCAGACGAATCCGCAGACTGATCTGAACCTAGGTGGTGTTCTATTATTAGACTTCTGTGCAAATCGCTGTTAAAAAATAATGAACACCTTGTTCGAAAATAAGGACATCCATCGGTACATGTGGTACCTGGACAGTCCAGGTCACAGGTCAATCGTTAACTCTGGAGATTGCTGCCGTATGTTTTGGACACTTGGGTGAAGAGAGGAGTGGAGCAGTCAGCTGGTCACCACCTGGTGGTGAGTTGGATCAGATGGCAGGGGAAGATACTGTACTGTATAGACCTTGTAAGATCAAACGTATGGTCTGCGTCCGCCTGGATGCCTCCCATGGGAGGTGTATCAGGCGTGTCCTGCCAGCAGGAGGCCCTTATGTTGACCCAGGAAATTCAGGAGGGATTGTACTGCAGAGCTGGCTGGGGAACGCCAAGGGGCACCTTCAGTGGAGCTGGTGAAGTTTGCAAGGGAGAGGACATTTAGACCTTTCTGCTGGGGCTGCTACCCCCACGATCTGGACCCGGATACGATTAAAACAGACAGACTAATTTCAACATACAGTACATCCTGCTTCAGTGTCAACACTTTTACTGTATTGTCTACATTGGTGTGTTCATATTAAACTAATCCTTTTTTATTCTGTGCTGTTTTATGTTTCTTTCAAGTATATTTAAATGTTTTTATATCTCAAAGTTTTGACTCAAGCTTTTATTTTGGTTTATACAAAAATAAAATGTATTTTCATTTTCTGTGTTGTAAACAAGGCTGTGGGGGGTATGCAGACAACTCAAGTGGTGCAGTATCATGTACGGGCCACGGAGAATCGATTCTGAAAGTGACACTGGCCCGACTCATCCTTTCTCACATTGAACAAGGTAAAATAATACTCAGAGCTTCTTTTTCTGTACAACTATCCAGGCAGAATTTTGAAGCAACTTTTTAGAGGGCACCACCTAGAGGCAAATGAAGTGTATTGCACCTTTAAGCCTCTCTCCCTGCTTCCATCTGGAGGCAATGGCAATCACTGGTGAACCTGCAACTTCACAATTGCGATCGTTATTCTCTCGTTATGCTGTTTGTTCATACATAAAGTAAAAAAAAATTACTTGTTCATGAGAAATTTTAGCCATCTCTGCATCTTTGACATCCAAGTTGAACAGAGGTCCTTCCACTGTTGAAACTAGGTCCAAGTTAAACTCTTTGCAGGTCTTTGAGGTGTCAAAAATCTACTAATTAACGTGTCTTGTTTTAATGTAATTTGAAATGTTTTTCTTTTTTCATAATTTATTTTGTAATGAAATGTCATTCTATAATGTGTATTTCTTCTTTATTTGTCCCAGGTAAGTCAGTAGCCGACGCCTCCCAGTTGTCTCTGCAGCATATGAGTGACCGTGTCCGCGGAGCAGGAGGTGCAGTCGTTGTTTCCCCATCAGGACAATGGGCCGCCACCTTCACCACCAAGCGAATGGCTTGGGCTGCTGTGGAACAGGATGTGCTGTGGTTTGGATTAGACCCAAATGAGAGATTAAAGGAGAAACTGTCCCAGTAACATTTTATTTTTAAATCATTTTTCAGATTCAGGGATTCGATTGATATTATTTTTTTCCGATTAATGCTAATAACACAATTAGAGTCAAATTATCTGTTTTTTAAAACCCGGACATTCACCTTAGTTTAACAGACACAGGAACAAGTCATTTTGTTTGATATGGTCATTTCTCCTTTTGTCTGAATGTGAATGAGTGATACTAGTTATTTCGAGCGGTTTACAAATACATTTCCCAGTCACTCCATGCATATACAGTGTAATGCAATCTGTAATGAGTGTTAATTACATTTAATTAAGGACCATAAGGCATTAAAATTTCATATCGAGTATGAAATCCATCTTATGGACACAGGGTTATTTAAATCAGAAGATTGGATCTTTTTATTGCAGGGACTTTAAATAACACTTTGTATTAACTGAGAGACAAGAGAAGAGAGAGAGACCTTCAAACGTTTAAGATAATTTATTACTAAAATAATTGTAAACAATTTAACAAGACTAACTCTCTAATGATGGATGCTCTGTTTGAATGAAGTGTGAGATGGTTGGTGTGTGTGAATGAGTGTTATTCAGAACCCTCGTATCCGGAGAAACAAAGTCTGAGTGGGAGAAGATGTTTTGCTCCTAACTGATCAGAGTTTGAGGCTCGTAGTCATAAACACATGAGACGCCATTTATGTCGCATCCACATACCCTCAGTGAGACCTCCGTACAGATCTGGATGCCAGGTCCACAGACCCTCCTCTGGTACTGGAGCCGATGAAGCAGCGTCGACAGTACGACGAACCAGTCTCTGTATAGTCTCCAGGTAAAAGCGACAGGTGTTTCACAGCGTCAAAAGGGGACCCTCCTTGGGTCAGCGAGTTCAGCTTTTATTCTGAAAGGTACCGTTGCTTGGTTCACAAAACAACAGATTTTTCCCAGCTTGATGGTTTTCAGCTTAAAAAGAGAAGTACAGAATGGCCGGTCCAATACTTCACCTAACATGAGGTGAACTTCATGGGATCGAGAACTGATCTTAAGAACTGAACTTGAGATGGCGTTGGAACTGTTTTATTAATCTGGATGTTTTTGATTCTGGACGAATCAAAGCTGACAGATTTATAAACACCACAGAGACTCTGCCACGCTTCAGACTAGGAAGGTTCTGATTGGATCAGTACAGCAATGTGTCATGTGATTGTTTTCCTTACGTGTGTCAGTGTGTCTCGTGAACTAGATTAAGTCATATTACTTATAAAAACATAATTATCATAACATTGTGATTTCACAGATTGGTCACATTGTATTATTGACTAACAGTTGTTTTGATTAGCTTTATTGAAAATAGAGTTCTTTGATTTAATAAAAGAAAAGAGTCTCTTCATCTTCTGTCTTCATTGCTGGAAAGTAAACAGTTTAGAAGCGAATGCATGACCTTGAGGCTGTTTCATGCACTCTGGCGCTGTGCCAAAGGGAACTGTGGAAAAGGTTAAATAACCTTGGAGGAATAGCTCCTTCATCACGTTACAAATCAGAAGCGTTAATGCATTTATTTTTTCCATCATTTCTATTGCTCCCCCAGACGAATCCGTGGCAGCTCTAGTGGCAGATCCACTGACACTTCCGGGTTGGGTCACCGGCCTCCGGTACGGAGTCAGGCTGCAGGTGGAACATGAGAGGTAGATGGAGAGCACCAGAGCAGTTCTGAATTTCTGAAATAATTTATGACAACTGCTACCAATGTGGATTGCGGGATAAAAAGAGATTAACTGTTAGTTTTCTCTATATTGTCATTGCAATCGGGGCACATAACGCCATCTGCTGGCTTAAAATGGGTATTGCAGTAAATTTTAAACAACTTGGAAGTGAAAAAGCAGTGTGTCAGTCGGCTGATTTAAACCTTAAAAGGCTTGCAATTTAAGTAAACGCTTTCCATCAACAAGTATTATAGGCTATTATAGGAAATGATATACAAACATATTTTAGTCCTCACAATACCCCTACATGCCTTGCATGTAAATAAATAATAACAGGCTTGTGAAAAGAATGTGGTCATGTTATACATTTGAGTTACACAAAAATTATAGTATTTCAAACTTTCTTTTCTAGATTCAACATGAATCACACAAGGCAGTAAGCTTATCAAAGCAATCCCTCAGACTTTGTGATGTATTATAACTTAATAAGTAATGTAAACCCTGTGCTTCCTGTGTTTTTTTAATTAATGTACATAATATCTTTTATAATGAACAAAACAACACCCTATCACAATCAGACATATTTTGATTTATGAGTTATGGCCTATCCATTCTCTTCAAATACAATAACTCCTCCATTTTCCCTAAAAAAAAGTTAAATATAAATATTCCAAATTCTTGATTTTTTTCACAACACAAAAGGCGATTGCAGTTCACTTATGATTAACGAAATATATCCCTCTTCTGATTTAAAAAAATATCTTTCATTTATATCATACAAAATGTCCTTTCTGTTATTAATTTATTGAAACGACTGAACATTTATTTTTTCATTGTACATTTGCTAATACTATCTTTATGCCTTATTCCCTATTTAATTTTTTGGCTCTTACAAAATAAAATGATCCGTGGTTTATCTGCAAAAGATGTATTTCATGTAATTAATCCTTTATTGTACGTTTTTCATCCACAGATACTTACATTTAAGACCTATTGGCTATTTCCTCTCTTTAATAAAGATATCTGGCCTTATTTTTTTTATCGTTGACATGTATGAATTGGACTAATGCTGTAAAACTCTGTAAGTTGGTTGAGGACTTTAAATTCACAAAACATCCCTTGCTCCTGTTTATTCCTTCTCTTTTGTTCCTCCTACATTTTTGTGGGGTTTTTTGAACCACATATTTTTTCCATGGTGCATGTTCCTTGTACATTCTGTATTAAAATGTGCAAATATGTTATGCACAGTTCAATAATAAAAAACAAACAAACAATTATAATTTGTTCGGAATAAAAGAGATAAACTTTTTTGGCCCTCATTTTGTCATGGCTATCGGGGCACAGATATATATATATATATATATATATATATATATATATATATATATATATATATATATATATATATATATATATACATACATACATACATACATACAAATAATGCTGCTCTTATTAACCCCCTTCTGACTCTGCGACCTACGAGAGGACATTCTCAACCTGCAGAGGATAGTTAATCATCTTCACAGAGACGGTAGGAAAAATACTGCTTTTTGCACATTTTCAATCAATCAATCAATCAAATTTATTTCTAAAGCGCTTTTCAAACAAAGTGTGATTTAAAGTGCTTTACAAAATGACCCCAGATTCCCATAACAGGTTAAAAACATTAACGAACATATGCAAGCACACGCACACACACACACACACACACACACACACACACAGACTCACACACACAAGTAAAAATTATATTAGGCTGAGTCCAGATGAGCCAAGTATGGTAACGCAAGGAAACGCCACCAGAGGAGCCGTCTGTCCCGGCAGCATCAGGTCTTCCACAATAAGTCAGGGCGCTCAGTGGAGGGGGAGCATAGACCCCCACCTATAGAGCGCCCAGGAAGCTACAGTCGACCACCGCTCCCGGGGTCAGAGGGCCCCCACAGAGGAAACACTGGATTAAAATGAGTAAAAATGTAATAAAAGAGCTAATATAAATGACAAAAATTAGAAAATAAGTAATAAATAAAATGATATAGACAGTAAAATAATAATTTAAATAATAAAACTGTGCTAAAATATAATCATATAGAACATGCAAAGCAAGTAATAAAATATAATCATGTAAAACCATAAATAAAACTGTAGAAAATATTTAGATAAAAGCTAACCTAAAAAGATGGGTCTTGAGTCTTGACTTAAAAACATGAACGTTCTCTGCGGCCCTGAGGTCCTCTGGCAGCTCGTTCCAGAGGCGAGAGCCATAACACTGGAAGGACGCCTCGCCGTGAGTTTGTGTCCTGACTTTAGGGATGACCAGGAGACACCTGCCAGAGGAGCGCAGAGGCCGCGAGGGTTCATATTGTAAAAGCAGTTCTGATAGATAAGAAGGCCCAAGACCGTTAAGACACTTAAAAACCATTAGAAGAACCTTAAAATGGATCCTGAAACATACGGGGAGCCAATGCAATGATTCTAAAACTGGTGTCATGTGCTCCCGCCTCCTGGTCTTCATCAGGACACGTGCTGCCGAATTTTGTAGAATTTGTAAGCCTGAGATGCTCTTTTTGGGAAGACCAGAAAGCAGGGCATTACAGTAGTCTATTCTACTGGTGATAAAAGCATGCATCAGCGTCTCCGTATGGGCCCGAGAGAGAATGGGGCAGACTCTGGCGATGTTCTTTAGATGATAAATACCTATTTTTGTGATATTTTTAATGTGTGGGATAAAAGTCAGCTCAGAGTCAAAGATGACACCCAGGTTCTTCACTTGTTCAGATGGATTAAAAGACAGAGATTGTAATTTCGGTAAAAGCTTCTCTCTCTGGGCCTCAGGACCAATGACTAAAACTTCAGTTTTGTCCTGGTTGAGCTGGAGAAAGTTCTCTGCCATCCAGGATTCGATGTCTAAAATACAGTTAAAAAGTGCATCCATTGACCGAGAGTCATCCGGAGACACGGAGATGTACAACTGTGTATCATCAGCATAAATGTGAAAGTTAACCCCGTGTCTCCTGATGACTCCGCCAAGAGGGAGCATATAAAGATTAAAAAGCACTGGGCCTAAAATTGAACCCTGGGGCACACCACATGTAATCCCATGGACCCTAGAGGAACAGGTCTCCGAACTCACCATGAAAGTCCTGTCTGTGAGGTAGGATGTGAACCATCTATGAACAGCACCAGAGAGGCCGATCTGTTGTAAATGAGTTAAAAGAATAGTGTGGTCTACTGTATCGAAGGCAGCTCTTAGATCCAGTAGGACCAACACTGTCAACTTCTGTTTATCATAATTTACTCTAAAATCATTTAAAATCTTCAGAAGGGCTGTCTCGGTGCTGTGGTTCACCCAAAAACCAGACTGAAATTTCTCTAGGACATTATTAGTGTTTATAAAATCATTTAGTTGATTTAAAACCAACTTTTCTAAAATTTTGCTTAAAAATGGTAAGTTGTATACCGGTCGATAATTGTTTAATTCATTAAAATCTAAATTGCTCTTCTTCAACAGGGGCCTCACCACCGCCCTTTTAAAGGCAGCAGGAAAGACCTCCGTCTGAAGTGAGCAATTCATCATGGTTAAAATCTCATCACTAAAAGATCCATAAAATTGTTTAAAGAACAAAGTTGGGATTGGGTCCAGAACACATGCAAATACACACAAAACAACAATTATCTTTGCACAATCACAAATATAGAGGGGGCCATCAGCTTGCACTGTTGCTAACCACTTAAACATTCTCCCTCTCCTGATAATACCATTTACTTTCCTTGACATTGAATGTGCTACTACTAGTTTACCTGTTGAATTAATGATAGATTCACTAGGATGGATACAATAAAGTTTATCTCTTACTAAATAGAATATTTACTAAGAAATCACAATGTAACCATAGAAACGCTACTTGGTATCAAGCCTCCACAATGCAGCCAACGCGGAAGTGACAAAAATTGCAGTTCCACCCTCATCCGCTGGGGGCTGGTGTCAGAAGCGAGCAAATTCTCATTGACTCCCATGTTAAAAATACCAATTTCACAGCAGAAATAAGCATGTTTACAGCCTGGTACCAAAACATGTTTTTGGTTTAAATTATCTAGTTTACGCTCATGACAACTCTGAGGGGGGTGAATTTTTTTTCTCACTCTTCTGTTTAAGTGTATTAAAAGCCTAAAATTCTGTATAATTAATGAGCATCAGACCCACGTGACCGCAGAGCTAGCTCCGTGGAAAGGCCTCAGTAGAGCCTCAGTCTGGCCTGGAAACTGTTCCGGGATTTTGAGTCTCTGTGTTTGTGTATTCTTTTTCGGATATTTTTTGTGCAATTGTTGGACAAAATGACTTGCTGTGGCATTAATTGCACTAATAGAGCATCCAAGGAGTCTCCACTTCATTTTTTTCGGTAAGTAAAATTATATTTATGTATTTTAGGTCACTGCCGAGCTGAGCTTAGATTTTAACATGTACTGTTTAACCATGAAATTTAAATGTAATAGGGTAAAACCCAGTGCATTTAACATAATGCTGCACTTTAGAAAATGGGTTGAAATATAACATGTTGGTGGAGCTGGGTTCCGACTATCAGCCTGTGTAGCTCTTGGGAGACCTCTGTTTTCCACCCGGTTCTCCCTTCCCCGCAGCTCAGCGCATCTCTGTCTGACCGCGGCTTCTGTCTGCTGCGTGGGCTACCAGCTTGTGGAGCTCTGGGATGGAAACCTTTCCACCCGGTTCTCCACAGCGGCAGCTCTGCGCATCTCAGACCGCAGCGGCGCTTGTCTGCTGTGCGGCTGCCGGCTTGTGGAGGTCTCGGGAGACCTCTGTGTTCCACCCGGTTTTACCCAGCGGTCAGCCCGGCGTATCTCTGACTCAGAAGCTCTGGTGTTGTGCACGGTTAACTCCGGTTGTAGCTAGGTTGCTACCTCCGTTAGCTTAGATCCCACCTCCGCGTTAGCTTTGGGTTAGCTTGTAGCTAGTTCGACCGGGTGTCGTCAGTTGATCCCAGCCTTACAGCCCCACCCTCAGCTCCACCTCTCTTCCCTTTTGTGGAATTGTCTTGGCTTGACGGAACCTGTGACACGGTCAAAATGGCGGTGGTGGCCATCTCCCATTTATCTTCCAAAACGTGTTATTGGAGTCTATAGAAACCCATTGTCCAATATTTATATGTCGATGGTTCCAACTCTTCTTTATTGGAGTCCCTTCACATTACAGACAGTGATAAATCTATATACACGCTATATATATATATATACACAATACAAATAACTTTATTGTTGTAAAACCACAATATCTATTAACAATAGACTACATCCCCAAAGCCGTTGTAGTGCCTTTTCACTTCCAAGTTGTTTAAAATTTACTGCAATACCCATTTTAAGCCAGCAGATGGCGTTATGTGCCCCCTATTGCAATGATAACAGTTTATCTCTTTTTATTCCACAATCCACACTGGTAGCAGTTGTCATAAATTATTTCAGAAATTCAGAACGTTGGCACGATGAGGCCAATGATGCAATAAGTGAATCAATTATTGTGTTATCTGTAGCGGCGTCTGCGCAGTGGAGCAGTGGTTAGAGCTGTTGCCTTGTAGCAAGAAGGCCCTGGGTTCGCTTCCCGGCCTGGGATCTTTCTGCATGGAGTTTGCATGTTCTCCCTGTGCTTGCGTGGTCTCTCTCCGGGTACTCCGGCTTCCTCCCACAGTCCAAAAACATGACTGTTAGGTTAAATGGTCTGTCCAAATTGTCCTTAGGTGTGTGTGTGTGTGTGTGTGTGTGTTTGCTTGCCCTGTGTGCCTCTGTGTTGCTCTGCAATGGACTGGCTCTCTGTCCAGGGTGTACCCCGCCTGATTGCCCGCTGACCGCTGGAGATAGGCACCAGCCCCCCCCCCCCCCACCCCCACCCCCCCCCCCCACCCCCGACAAAGCACAAATCAAACCCAACATGTATTACAACCTTCCATGCACAACTTTCAGTGTCTGAGTTTCAGGTGATATTGTCTGTCAATGTTCAGGCGTTTTTAGCTGCTGTGGTCTTCTGCAGAGCAATTCCTGTCCTGCTGCAGACAAAACCCGTTTTTGCACTCTTTGCACATCCAGGGAGTGTGCATTTTTTGCCTGAGGGGAAGCTGATAGCCAGGGGTTCTTCTGGGGATAAATCTGGGTGGTGTGGGTCAACGGTACCTGGGATGGCTTTATTGTCCAGGAGTCCAGAAGATGTGGAGCATCTCCAGCAAGATCTTGTCTCTGACATTGCCTGTTGCTGTGATGGTGGATGTCTCTTCATCAGAAGAATTTCTAAAATTAAAAATATATCAAATTATATAACATTTATTCAAGCAGTAAATACTAGAAAAAGAAAACTGGATAAAATAAAATAAAATACAGAACTAAAGCTAGAAATATATTTGAACTGTAGATAAACTCACTGCAGCTGTGATGGGAAATCATCTTCACTCACACCGGAATCCTCAACCACAGATGTACATGGAGGATTTGTTTTCTTGGATGTAGCAGCAGTAGTATAATAGAATAGTATTAGCAGAAATACTGGACAACAAAAACTGGAACGTGTTTAGTGGAAAATATTTAGGGCAGAGATACTTACTGCATTTTTGACGGAAAAACGATGTAGGCACATCTTGCTCCTCATCAACAAATCTTGAGGGAAATTAACCTCTTTCTAGAAGATTTCCTGATATCTTTCATTATTTAGAAAAACAAATCTAACATAAAATAATAAAAAGCCTCAGTGAAAAACGAGGCTGAAAAAAAACGGAATACGGGTGGTAAACAAACAATGCAAATCAATGTCAAAAATAACTATATATCCTAAAATCGCTATATACAAACATAAAGTAAGACATTTACCGAAGAGATATATTATTTATATCAGTAGAAGAGATAGAAGTTGAAATTACGTGTCGAAAACCACTGGAAAGCGTAGAGGCCTTACAGCCCCACCCTCAGCTCCTCCTCTCTTCCCTTTTGTGGAATTGTCTGAGCTTGACGGAACCCTGTGACACGGTCAAAATGGCAGTGGTGGCCAGCTCCCATTTCTCTTCCAATACATGTTATTGGGGCCTATGGAAATCCATTGTCCATGTATGTATATGTCGATGGTAGAGGCTCAGCTTTCGTAATCCGCTGGAATTACGTTGATTGCGTGAACGGCTGAAGAGTTACGGTAGTTCAAAGTAAGGAATCCGTTTTGTGTCTGCGCCGACCGACACAACCGTAGAAAGCGTTCTGTGTATAAAATGTTTTCCCAGCGAAATCAAAATATTTACCAAGAATTCTTAATATTTGTCCTTCAAAAACAACCCCCCTTTTAGAGCAGACCAGTTAAACGGACTGTTATATGCTTAGACAACAACAAGTGTGAACAGAACACCAGAAATCTTTGACACAAAGATGTTCAACATTTTCAATATTACTTTCACAAAAACCACATTAATTGTTTGTCCAGTTAAATCTAACATGTAGAAAGTTATTGGATGGATAAATATCATTTAAAAATTTGAATGTTACCTCCTTTGCTTTATGTGGGATTGGATAAGACAAATATCTCTTCCTTTTCCTTCTCTCAGTTTCATTAAAGTCACGTAAAATATATTTCCTCTTTAGCTGGTAAGTGTAATATTGGGTTGATAAAATATTACGGGCAAATTTGTTAGAAAATTCCTTGCTATTTAATCTAATTCCTTCTACACATAGAGATGTCTTTTTTGATCCCTTTGCATGTATCCTTATTTGCTGAGTAATCATTTTGACAGGAACTGGAATGGCTTTCTTGTATTCACTTAGTGAGCATATCAGACCAAATTTCTTACACAAATCTTCATATTTCAAAAGATTGCCATGCTCATCCAATAAATCAGATATCGCCCAAATTCCTTTATCCAACCAACTTTCAATAAATAACGACTTCTTATTTGATAGAATATATCTATTATTCTACAAGGGTGAATTGTGTCACTACAGTGGGATGAAATTATGCTTGAATATTAGGTTCCAGTAAAGGAGAACTTGCTTATGATAGTCAGATAGTTTTACAGGTAATTTTCCTATATCATTGTCACAACGCAACAAAAATTCTATCCCTCCAGTAACACGGAAAGGTGACTGAACTGAAATAGCCATCCCAAAACGTGCACACCGCTTGCTGGCGGGGTGAGGAATTGCACATCTAAATCGCATATTCAACATCAGAACCAGAACCCAAAATTCTCATGTGGGTTGCATGAGCACAAATGGAGCGACGCCGTGTCAACAAACGCTGCAGAAGTTTGTAAAAGCAAGTTTGAGGCGTCAGCTGCTTGTGTCTGTCTGTAAACAAAACAAAACAAGAAGAAAAAAAAACACGTGACGTGTTGCCCCGCCCCTCAGGAGCTTTGCAGCAGCGGGACGAATGACGGCTCCGTCAGAGGAAGTTACTGGAGGGTGCAGCTGTGCTAGCATGTAACCTTACACGAGTAGGCAGCGTTATCATCGCACAGGGAAGGTGAGAGTCTTACAAACACAAACAAATATATCCAAATATATAAACTGCAAAGGTGTGGAAAAAAATGCATGCGAGTGTCGTTATCCATCGTCCGCTAGCAGCTCCCAAGCTACAAACAAACTTCCGAGGCCTGTGCTAGTGCTATGTAGCTATCCGTTTCTGGTGTTTTCGCATCGAGTTATCTAACTCAAAATTAATACATCACTTGTTTACATTTTTCAGTACGGAATATCGTAGACGTTATTATATATATATAACGAATGAGCCAAGTGGTTACTTTACGTTACAAGTTCCTTCATGAGTCAACGTTAGCGTGCTAACAGCACATCCATAATGGCGTTTAGGAGCGGATTGCTATCTAGCGAGCTGGCTAACATATGGTCTACAAATCTGTTAATACCTAGCTGTGTAGTAATGCTGTGTAACTCCGCTACTGTGTAACTCATCTGCTGAAAGGCGTCACAACACCCGAGTAACATGTGTTTTGGGTTGGTTTCTGTTCAAACATGGCCTGCATGGTTGTTGTAGATCTTACTGTTGGTTAAAAACACCAAACGAGGGTAATTTTGCATGAGGACAGATTTTTAACTGTAATTATATAAATATTAAAAATATTCGTACTGTTATTTTGTGGCTAATCGTTGTGGGCCTCGTAAACTTGGACGACACTTGCATTCAAGTTAGCGTACACCAACAGCCAACCAATTGATGAATGAAAGTATGTGTCCTTGTGCTGCTCCTTCTGTTTTCTTATTTAGAAGACCCATGAAATGGGTGATCAGTTTTTTATAATGAAAATAAAATGGTCTAATTCACACTTTTGTTTTGGTTTAGGAAAAGTGGTCTAATTCACACTTTTGTTTTGGTTTAGGAAGGCAGTAGCATTCATGGATATTGTGGACACCTTTAACCATTTAATACCCAGTGACCAGTTGGACGAGTCCCTGTTAGCAGGTCAGAATTTGGAATGTGAAGCCAGTCACGCGTTTGGAGCTGGACCCGTTCTGGAGGATTCGTTGAAAAACATGCTCAGTGACAAAGACCCTATGTTTGGATGTGCAAGTGCTCAGTTTAATCTCTTGGACAACGAAGATCCTGCTTTTCACATCGCTGGCTCGGCAAGTATGTCCACAGTCTGAAGCATAGGCCAAAATTCCATGTTGTGAAAATGTACGGTAAAGCTTAAAAAGCTCACACAGTTTTTAAACATTTATGAAGCTAATCAAAGAAAAAAAGACATTGGTAAAAATAATCATATTGATCAATATCAATAATTCACAAACTGTGAATAAATGTAGAAAATACATTTAAAGAGGACCCCTGGCCATTTTATGCAATTTCTTAATGAACCTTAAAGAACAGACAAAAACTGGATTAAATTCAATACTTTATTTTCACAAGGGCTGAATGATTTTAGTAAAAGATCGAACTACGATCATTCTAGCAGAAATTGTGATTTCAGTATCATTCACAGTTTTCTTCAAGGTATCATTCACAGTTTTCTTCAAGGCAAGGTTCAGCGCATTCACAATGTAAAGTAACATTAACAAACATAACAGGAAATGAAATCATGGGTTGTGCCATCAGAAAAATTCAAACAGCTTTTATAAGAAGGGAAGTTGCACTTTCAAGTCCAAATAGAGGTTATTACAGTAAGGAAAATAAACTTTTTATCAAAGTTTTTATTGACCCAATTTTTTTCCATCATACCACACATCAGTCAATGGACACATATCGTTATTGAATTATTGTCTAGCTCTTCTCAGTAGTCACTGTAGCGGTACCAGACAGAATATTCTAACAAAAACATTATTTTTCTTCCATCATTATTTTTATTTTTTATTTATTTATTTTTTGCAGGTCCTCAAAACGCTTCAGCATCTGGAAACTTCAACCGTCATCTGAATGTTACAAATACACCACAAGTTAAAGGACCCAAGAGAAGGAAACATCCAAACAGCTTAGAGAACAGTAAGTGGGAGCTTGTTTTTAAAAAAATAAAAAAGTTTAGTGAAATCTCAGTTACCACATGCTGACAAAATTCATGCAAGAGCTACTTTACACTCCAGCTGATGGTGGCATTAAGTAGCTTGCAGAACCAAAGCAGTATATACTTGTGAACCTTATGTTGACCTCTGTATTTAAAGTGCTGCTGGAGCTTTTAACAGCATCTTCATTCAAAAAGATTTTATTGAGAATTCCGAAATAAATTTTTACAGGACTCAAGGTGGTACAGCTGTACCACCTTGAGTCCTGTAAAAATGTGACTCAGCGTAATACCCCCATCTAGTGGACAACTTTTGTTTCTGCACATACCTGTAGTTATCGTCCGTTTATCATTATCGAGGTGAAATTCTCAATATATCGCGCTATTTATTTTAGGCCATATCGCCCAGCCCTACTTTGTATAAAAGCTCCTGCTACATTAATAAACACAAAGATACGTTTATGACAAAATAGGCAAAATTAAATCAAAACTGTAGGAGTGAACAATTATTTAGTGAGGACGCTCCAAGTTTGCAGGCCAAGGGAAAAGGTGGTGAAAATATAAATGTTTTTGTATTTTATGGTCATGAAATTTAAAAATGTCACCATAAGGCTATTAAACTTCAGTCTTTAGTTTTTCCATTTTGATTTATTGGATGCTTCAGTAAGATATGGGGACTAAAATGTGCTCCATCAAGTGGTTGGCCTACCAGTTAAGTTCTCTGCACAGAAAAGTAGCAGTGCAGCAATCAAAACACACAAAACAATCAATGTTTTCATCTAAATCAGTAATCTCTGCAGCCAGATGTTTGAAGAGACTATTTCCTTAATTTTAAGGTTTGCTTAGCAAGCAGCTCCAGTCATGAAATGAAGCCTGTTAAATTGCCATTCTTCCAATCTCTGAAATCATAAACTTGAAGATATCCTGCGTCCAAACACTAACAGCTACACGTTTTTTTTTTACAAAAATTTATTTACGAATGGACTTCTGACAATCTGAACGCATTTGGCCTAAAAGAAATCCGTACGAATGAAGATATTTTCTGCCAGTAGACAGTAAATACCAGCCAAAAGCACAGTGACCCAAATCCTATATTTAGATTTACGAAGCTTTAATCTGTTTAAAATCTGTTCAACATGCTTTGCTTGTTTGTTCTTTACTTCACAGATTATGGTGACAAACATAGAATGCCGACCAACAGTTTGATCAGAGGACGACCTGGAAGGAAACTGGCTAACAGACTAAGCAAGGGCTTTCTAATAGAGAAAGGAGTTACAGGCCCTCAGCTGAAGAGGGAGTTGGTTCTGGGAGGTCGTATTAACATCAACAATATCAGTGGCGGACTGTGGCTCAAACCTACGGTTGTGTTGAGGCGACTGACCGTCACAATTGGAGGGTTTAAGATCGAGTTGCTTCCTGGACCTTCTTATATGCAAAGCGGGGAGACAAACCAGGCGGTATGCTTCGATGATGGTTTTTCTTACGGGGGCGACATCGGTTTAGGTGTCTTGCCCGAAGAGGCTGTCAGCATACAGAATCCCGGACCAGAGAACGTGGCAGAGATGGATGTAACTGAAAAAAGCTCCATGGATGATGCAAATCTTGGGCTGGGCCCATACGTGAACCCCAATGATGTTCAGACCACCAATGGGACTTTAAAAGAGGCCCCCTGCACACAAGAGACAAAATGTCACGATCAGAATGTTCTGGGAAAGAACCCGGTCAGTAAGGGAAAAGACTCTGTGAAACCGACACAGAGTGGTGACAATGACACGGCTGCTGCTGCTGCGGATAAGACTGATAAGGAAAAGCAACAAGCTGGAGCCAAAACACTTCCCAAGTCCAAACAAGGACCGTCGCCGGGCAGGAACAAGGACTTGGTTTCGTGTAAAACGAGCCACGTAGATAAGGAGCATAAAGGACCCCAAAACAAGCCGTCCAAAACGATGCAAAGAGGAGACGCACACAAAACGAAACCTCTGAAGGATAAACAACCTGTTTCACCACTGAAAAGACACGCCGAAATCACCCAAAGCCCCCCTGTTGCTAAGGTGCAAAAGATACACGGGCCAGGGGATGATAAATTCAAGCCAAAGTCACCGACCTCTGCAACGAAGAAGCACCCGCTCTCTGGCATTCACACCGGTGATCAGCAGGGACCAGTCAAACAACGGAATCCCCACCACAGCACCAAACCCGAGCCTGACCAGCACCAGGCCAACAGTCATCCAGGCAATTCCTTAAAACACCCCCAGGAGGGCGGGCAGGAGAAGTTGAAACTGAAAAAGCTGGAAAAGATTCTCTCGAAACATAAAAGTAAAAATGTAAGGAGCATCTCTGTGGACGAGCCACAGCTGTTTATCCCAGATAACGCTCCCTCCGTGAAGAAGGAAGCTGCTGAGGAGCAACCGACCAACACTGATGGTGTTTGGGATGGAAACAACTGCTGTGGTCTGTGTAAAAAACACCACAATAATACGTAAGTGTTGCTATTCACATAAATATGGGTAATATACACTTAACTAGCCACAGCTTGCAGTAATTGTCTCATGTTATCTAGCTTCATGGTTGGATGTGGTCGCTGTGAAGACTGGTTCCACGGGGACTGTGTTGGTCTCGATTTGGCCAAGGTGCGTGAAATGGAGGAGGAGGACCAGATGTATGTGTGCTTAAAGTGTTGTGAAGAAGAAAGCAAGAAGGTGGAGCCCAAGCCCCCTTCTGTAGTCAAACCAGACATTCAACTAAAGACTGAGGAGCCGGATCATAAGCTGTCTCCAAAGCCCCGTCCAGGATGCTCTCAGGTTCTCACATCAGGGGGAGTCAGACCACTAAGGAAGGTAAGCGGACTTTGTGGGGGTTCTCTAAAATAATGTTTGGTTACTCATTACATTAGTTTTTGTTTCTTTCTTCCAGTGTTGGGAAAGTTGGTTTAAAAAACAAACTAGTTCAAAGTTCAGTTCATACATTTTAAAACAAACTAGTTCGTTTCTTATTTCATAATTAAAAACATTTTGAACTAAGTTCACTTTTCCTAAAACTAGTTCATAGTTCTTTTTTTTCTATCCATCCATCCATCGAACTTTGACTCCTGCACATAACTTAGACGTAGGGTTGTCACGGTAACCGGTGTAGCGGTAAACCCCGGTAAAAAGTTGACAATAATAATAACCGTCTTGTCTTTTAAAAACTATATTATCTCGGTGGATTACCGTGGCTGCGGTGTAGGCGCGGTGACCCTTACCAGCCACCGTATCATCTGCTGAAGTTGCCGGCGGCACATGCGCACTTTGTTGTTTACAACCAAAACTTTCTTGAAGCTAAAGCTGAAATAATGGCCAAAGGAGGAGACGGCAGTGTTCAGGACATTTTTCATCCCTCAAAGAAGACAAAGTGGGAAGTACGGGCATCTTTTAGATATTTGAAGAATGCCGAGGGACAGCTGATAGAAGACGGCTATCCTGTTTGCAGCACGTGCAGAAAAAGTGTCTGTGAAAGGCAGCAACGCTTCAAATCTCATGACACATCTGCGTGACCATCACCCACAACTCTACAGTCAACGCAAGGCAAGCTGACGTTAGCGTTTTAGCTAAAATGCGTGATCCGAGGATTTGGGTTGAGGGAGAATGCAACGAGTCGCTACATAAAGCAGCCTCAGCGCCGCTACCTGCATATGAACCGTGTCGCGGACACCCCCATGTTGAAATGACTAGGGTTGTCATGGTATGAAAATTTAACCTCACGGTTATTGTGACCAAAATTATCACGGTTTTCGGTATTATCGCGGTATTTTTTAAACGGTGTTGCATATGTTCAGAAAGCATTGATAGTCCTGTTCTACACAAACTGAAATAGTTCTGAAAAGGTTTAACAGTGTTTATTAAGCCTAAAATAACACAAAGCCTTAGCAAAAGTGCAACTTTTCACAAGTAAAGGAACAAATAGCTTCTTTTTCTGGAACATGTTACAGTAGTCAGTGCAGGTTTAAATTATACAAATCCAAACATTCAAAACATAAACAATATGTAAACAAATCAAAGAAACACCACTTGTTTTCTCATATACTTGTTTTCTTCATTATCAAAATGAAAATCTAAAACTCCAGTCCACACTTGACTTGAGCGCTGTACAAGTCAACCTTAAAAAATATGTATTTAAAATAAATATCCACTTTAAACAAATTACTAAAATAACTACTACACTATGTAATCAAATCCAAATGTTCAAGTATAAATGGCATTGAATAAGTAAACAAATCAATGACAAGGAACTAATCGTATATTTCTCTTCATCATCAACAAATAAGATGCTTCATCCAGCAACAGGGTGTCCGTGACACGGTTTAAATGATGGCAGAGGGCGCTGCGGCTGCAGTATATAGTGACTCGTTGCATTCTCCATCAACCAAAAGTCCTCACGTTATGCATTTAAGCTAAAATGCTAATGTTATCTTACCTTGCACTGGCTGTAGAGACGTGGGTGATGGTCACGCAGATGTGCCATGAGATTTGAAGTGTTGCTGCCTTCTGCAGACACTTGTTTCCTGCACGTTCTGCAAACGGGATAGCAGTCTTCTATTAACTGTCCCTCAGCATTTTTCAGAAATCCAAAATATGCCCATACTTCCGATTTAGTCTTCTTTGAGGGCTGATGGATGTCCTGGGCGCTGCCGTCTCCTCCTTCCGCCATTATTTCAGCTTCAAAGTTTTGGTGCCGTTGCAAACTAAAAAGTGCGTGTGCGCGCCGCGGGAACTTCAGCTGAAGCGACGGTGGCTGGTAAGGGTCACAGCGCCAAAACCGCAGCCACGGTAAACCCACCGAGATAATTTAGTTTTTTAAAAACTGGACGGTTATTTTTATTGTCAACTTTTTTACCGGGGTTTACCGCTATACCGGTTACCGTGACAACCCTAGAAATGACGCTATGCATTACGGGGCTCCCAGGGGCAGATAAGTGTTGGTCTCTCTCCGAGAATAATTATGAATTTAACAATGATGACTGCTTGATGACATTTTCCCAAATCTGCAAAGCTCACTGGAACACAAACCGAGGACAATATTTTCCTGATATACTGGGTTTATTTAGTTGTCTGAAAATGTAACACGTTTAAAAAAATACCGCGATAATACCGAAAACCGTGGTAATTTTGGTCACAATAACCGTGAGGTTAAATTTTCACACCGTGACAACCCTACTTAGACGTAGAAGAGTAGACGCCGCACCAACCGCTACTGCCTATGTTTGGCCACATTTGCGGGTTCTACTTTTTATAAACTCTATGGTTAACAGAATGTTTTAGCTAGACTTTTAGCTCCAGAAAAGCTCTGTGGAGATCTGGAGCTAGAACGGCGAAAGAACACGTTCATAAACCCGCTCACGCACGCCAGGACAAACGCACTCACTTTTACGTTCGTCACGCAAAATACGAACGAGTTCAGTTTACGTTCACCAAAAAAAAAAAGAACAAATTCACGAACGATCATTCAGTAAACGCGTTCAGGCACAACACTGCTTTCTTCATTATTTGTTGTCCCCAGCTGATTCCTCCTCTGGTAATAATCATAACCTGGACAAGGATTTGTTCTCATTTTTGCTTTTATTTTAAATGAGAAAGAGGTGTGTGGGTAACGTGGGACACATCATTTCTCACACACAAATTTCACCTCGGCTTTCCACCGGATGCGCAGTAATGTCTGTGAAGTATATATTCTGGATTTATTTTTCACGTGTTGCGCTTCTGGAACACGTGAAGCTCAGCAGTACAGATCGGGGCAGACAGGAAATCATCCCATAAATAATAACAAAAGTAGCAGTAATAAATAATAGAAAAACCCTCATGTGCAGACAGGACATGGAGAAGCTCAGTCATGCGTTCATCTCCAGCAGGCTGGACTATTGCAATGGTCTTTTGACTGGTCTTCCCAAAAAGCTGTGAAGCAGCTGCAGCTTATTCAGCATGCTGCTGCTAGAGTCTGAACAAGAACCAAGAGAACTGAGCACATCACTCCTGTTCTTGAAGCATACCTGCAAACTTGTAGCTTTTCGATGAAAATCAGTTTTTGAAGCCAAATGTGGCGTTCACGTGAATGGTGTAGAAACGATGAGTTCTTGTTTTAGGGGGGTCTTCTGTCAGGGTTCAGCCACTTTTATGAGAGTCAATGAGAGAGAAGAGGGAGGACTCCTTGTTCACAATCTTTGTTCTGGCGTTAGTCACGTGTCGTCATTTGACCAATCACAGTCAGAGACGGCATACTGCAGTGCTCACAGCGAGTAGTATGAGTGCTGTTGCTTGAACTTCTCACTGCGATTTTGAGCCTAACGTTTGTCAAATCTAACAAAATCACCACTAAATAACGGTTTTCTGTCCAGGACTTTAGCAGATTTACCTTTTTATATTTTTCCCAAGGCTTGTCGTGTTTTTAATTTATTTTTGTTTTGGAGTTGATTTTGGAGTTAACACTGCCAGTATTTAACCTCATTAAAATCTAATATTAGTAACAAATACCTTTACTGGTAAGAAATGGCCACCTGTATGCTACAGCCTGACTCATTTAAAATAAATCCTAATATATTGATCTGGGCATCGTACGATTTAAGGACGCTGGAGGAGAAACACGTGACGAGATAATTTCATAATATTTTAACATTTCTGCTGCAATAAGGAGTCTGAACAGCAGTTTGCTATTAGCAGTGGTTTATTAAAGTATTCAAGCAAACAGCTGAGTTAAAGCTGTGTTTACCTGCAGCTGCAGCTCTTTCACCTTTTTCACACCCTCCGAGTTTGCAGGTTTGTTGAAGCTCTTCACTGGTAACCAGTAAACTACAGAATCCATTTCAACGTGCTTCTAGTAGTTTATAAATCACTCAGTGGCATGGGGCCAGAATACTTGTCAGATCTCCTTCGGGTATATACACCCAGCAGGGCTCTGAGGTCCTTAGGAAGCAGTCAGCTGGTAGAACCTCGGGTCAGAACCAAACAGGGTGAAGCAGCTTTTAGCTACTATGCTGCTCACAGATCTGCCCCAGATCTAGAAACGTTGAAAACCTTCATGTATTCATCAGCATTTGAATGAATGTTTCTTATCCTGCACATTCTGCACTGCAGCTGCTGCACCCTTTAACCTTTTCTTTTGAAATCTAAATAGAATTTGTGTGTATTTTAATTCTGCTGTCACACAGATTTTAATGTTCTTGCTAATTAGAAAGCATGTTGAATTTCCTCTGTATGAAATGTGCTATATAAGTAAAGCTACCTTTCTTTGCATATTAGCAATAATATTGATATTAGTAACTGTAATAAATAATTAAAAAAATAATAGTAATTCTAATGGACGATGGGACATGCTGCTGAGGTCCAAATGAAAACGCATCTATTACATTACTCGTCTGGTGGATCAGACTTATTTAAATGAGTTAAATTTAATTTTTGAATCATCTCTAATGTAATAATGTCTAATTTACCTTTTAAATCTGTTCAACAGGATCCAGAAAGGACGCCGTCCACAGATGTGAAAGAAGGAACTCATAAAACAGGTGATGTTATCAGCTGTGGGTGTAAAAACAATTCTGTTTTTAACTCGGCATTGGAAGATGTTTAACACGTCTATGGAGAAAAAAATGTCAAAATATACTCAAAATACATTGTTTATGGTAACATTTATTCATGAATTCTGTCACTACGGTCCAGAGCTGGTGGGATAAGAGTCAGGATCAGGGGTGTCAAACTCATTTTAGCTCAGGGGCCACATTGATGGAAATCTAGTCCCAAGTTGGCTGGACCGGTAAATTAAAAACAACTTCAGATTGTTTTCTTTGTTTTAAAACAATCAGTATAAAACAAGGCTGGAGCCTGAGGACAGCGTATCCAAAATAGTACAAGTACAACACCTGAAGTGTACTTGAAAATTTGAAAAAAAAATTAAAAATCAATAAATAAATTAAAAAAAAACATTCCTTAGTGATTCAAAGAGCTTACAGATCACATGGCTAGATCAGTTTCATGCAGCACTTAAAGTATATTTGACTCATTTTACTTAACATCTTTTAGCTTTCACCAGCACATCAATATCAGAAGTCACATCCTGAGTGGCGGCCAACTTCAGGATGTGATTCAAGTTCTTGTGTGAGCCTTGAGCGCAGCTTTGTTTTATTTATACTCATTACAGAGGAAACTTGCTCACAAAGATAAGTTTATTTTCACTCTACATTGTAAAGTAGGAAAATAAAGTTTACACAACCATCCCGCGGGCTGGATTTAACCCGCTGGCGGGCCGCATATTTGACACCCCTGGTCAGGACACTTTTCCACAGGGAAACACATAATAGTAACAAGCTAGCATTAGCCTCGTCGCAGCTAACTTTTTCTTGGAATAAACATCAGTATCTACCAAAAATCCACTGAATCATTAAATATTGTTCTTGGGAAAGAAGTTTTGTTATACGAGCCTAATAAATAGAAAACCCCTCATCTGGTTGTGGACTTAAATTTAAAGTTGCATTTGTTTATTTCTGTCCTTATAGGTGTTCAGTCCAAACATGAGACAAAAAGTAAGACTCCGTCCAGGACCTCAAAGAAACCGGTCTCTGTGGATGCCATCAGACGAAGCGTGCGCGATTCTCTGAAAGAGATTCTCACACAGAGGTCAGTCATTCACAGATGAGTGTCATTTGGATTAAACTAGACACTTTTAAAAATCTTGATTATAAAACAACTATTTCAGGTTGAAGGATTCCAACTTAAACATCTCAGTGGAGAGGGCGTCAGAAGTGGCCAAGAGGACTGAAAAAGAGCTGTTTCATCTTTATAAAGACACCGATCACAAATACAAGAACAAGTACAGAAGCCTGATGTTTAACCTTAAAGATACAAAAAATAATGTAAGTGCCTTTATTATTATCAGGCATAATCCAGAAACTTTTACTCTGGATTTGGTTTAATCGTTTGCATCTTGGCGTTTTTTCTGCAGGTCCTCTTTAAGCGGGTTCTCAGAGGGGAGATCTCTCCTGGTAACCTGATTCGCATGAGTCCCGAGGAACTGGCCTCGAAAGAGCTGGCGGCCTGGCGACAGAGAGAGAACAGACATGTACGTGATGCTTACACCTCATATGACGGAGGTTTAAATTACAAGTGATGTATATTTAAACACATGCTTTTATTTTCTTAAACCAATTTACCAAACAATCACAGTAAGTCATTGTCATTTTTAGACAATTGAGATGATCGAGAAAGAGCAAAGGGAGGTAGAGAGGCGGCCCATCACAAAGATCACCCATAAAGGTGAAATCGAAATAGAGAGCCAGGAGCCCATGAAAGCAGCAGAGTCCACAGAGGTAAGAGTCAGAGCTGGTGTCACTCTGTCTGCTTATTTGAAACATTTTAACGTTTATTTTCTCCCTCTTTAGATTGAGCCTCTTCCCAAAGTTACTGAAGTCCCACCAGAACCTCCCCAAGTCCCAGAGAAGAAAGCAGAAAACACCAAGACGGAGAAGGACACCACAGCTCAACACAAATCCCATCTATTTGATCTACACTGTAAAATCTGCACAGGTAAAGTCTGAGTCCGGAGAAGTCCCGGGTTTTATTAACCATCAGGAACTGCTTATAGAGAAACATCTTTGTCCTACATCAGGTCGTATGGCTCCCCCGGTGGAAGAGGCACAAACCAAAGTGGCGAAAGTTGCAACCACAGTGGTTCGAAGACAGTCGACCAAATCGGAAGACTCGAAGAGCTCGACGCCGCCTCCGGTGGAAGACGATCTGCACCTCGCGGTTTTAGAGGAGAGTTTCCAAAGTGCCAAGACGGGATATGAAGCAAAGTAGGACATATTTTAAGACTCGTTGCTCCGATGTGCGACATGTTTTTGTGCGTTCACCTCACCGTTGCTTCTGTCGCAGGTCGGAGCGCGCTCCTGGGCGAGAGGAAGAAACGGTTTTCCTTTCCAGCCTGAAGTCTTTGTGGCGGGGATTCATCCACATGCACGCCGTGGCAAAACTTGTGACGAAAGCGTTTCCGGTCTCGGGCATTCTGGATAACTTAACTGAGGTAAAGTGGACACAGAGGAACGTTTCGGTTCAGAATGGCTTCAGTACTGTGCTGCTTGGACACACGTGTTCTAGTGGACACTGTGAGAAATCTGGGTTCACATATATATCTATATATATATAAATAAATAAGAGTAATCCGTTTAATCAAGTTACTTTTTAACACGGTGATCAGTAATTGATTTCAATTGAACTAAGTTTATTTATATAACGATATATTGTGAAACATTCAGTCAGATGAAAGTAGCAACTTTTTTAGACTAAATTTATTGTAGGAAATTTCAATAAATAGTTCAAACTGATACATGTTTAACTTGAGGTGTCTGAACCATAATAGAGGTATCTACATTTCAGTGGTGGAAACAAAACCCACTGCACACTGCTGCCAACTAGTGGTCAGCATTTGAATTGCAACAAAAGAAAAGTAAATACACAAATGTTTGCATGTAAATTATTCCAAAAATTCGATGCACTGTTTTTAAATATCTATAATATCGCAGGAAAAAATTATGATATATTGCCATATGGATATTTTCTTACATTCCTATATAACGCCAAATCAACGTGGTCTCAAGGCACTTTACACAGTAAACATTCCAACTGACCTTACTTGTTAGTGCATCGAGTTCAGTTCAATAATCCAGTTAGTTAAAAGTTCCCTATGTAAGGAAACTCACCAGATTTCAGCAGTCCCCATACTAAGCAAGCAAATAGTGTCAGTGGGGAGGAAAAGTCTCCTTTAACAGGAAGAAACCTCCAGCAGAACTTGGTTCAGTGTTAGTGATGGGAATTCCGCCTCTTTTTAGAGAGCCGGTTCTTTTGGCTCAGCTCACCAAAAAGAGCCGGCTCTTTCGGCTCCCAAGTGGCTCCTAAGATTTTCTGTTGCGTAGAGTACATTTATAACCAAACTAATGCTAAACTATATGTAAGATAATTTACTAATGTAAAAAAAGCAATATATCAAATGTTTATCATTTCTATGGATGTAATAACTGAACACTTTAAGAAATCTCCACTTTCCGACTGCTGGCGCTCATGCATGCTTTCGTTCTTTTTTAAACACAGAAACAGTTTTGTTTACCTGTTTGTAGCTACGGTTTCGCCGACAGCTGCCTGCTTCTTCAGGCTGACGCTGATGGTGGCGCGTCACTTCCTTCTCCGTTTATCTGCGGGCAGCAGAGGACGTTGTCGCCCTCTACTGCCCGCTCTCCCCTCTCCGACGATGCAGTCCCATGCGTGGTCCAGCGTGTAAACTCCGTCGTCCCTGTTCATGGTCCCACATCCACGTCTCCTTATCTCGATTGCTTCCTTGATCCATCTTTTGTATTTTTGTTGTTCAGTGGTTATGATCCGTGTGCTGTCCCAGTCCATTATATGGTTTTCTCTTAAGCAATGATCTGTTACGGCTGACTTTTTTATTGTACTTTCTGCTTCTTCTTTTGCTGCTCTTGTGTGTTTACGATTTGCCTCTTTCTCGCACTCCTTTCTGTGTTCTATTGTCCGTGTATTGAGTTGGCGTCCGGTTTCTCCTATGTATGTTTTATTGCATATTTTGCATGGGATTTCGTAGATGGCTCCACATTTTTGTCCAGCTGATATTTTGTCTTTTGGGTGTACTAGTCTGTTTCTAACTGTTGTGTATGGCTTTGTTGGTGTGTTTATGTTGTGTTTTTTCATTGTTGCTCTTATTTTTTCCGTTATGCCTCTGATGTATGGTAGGGTTATCACTGGTTTTGGTTCTTGTCTTTCTGGGTTTCTGAACGAAAGCATGGATTTACAAAGACACAGCAAGAACACACCTAAGATGCTGGCGCTCATTTTCTCACCGTCTTCGTCGCAGTCTCCTCTCTCTCGCTCGCCTTTTTCCTCCTCCTCATTCCCTCGTCTCCCTCTTCCCACATGTGCTCTGTTGTGTGTCTGAGTCTGATCCTCCCTCTTCCCCGCCCCTACTGCTCTGTGTGTGGACAGTCTGGACACACAGTTATGCATGTTGACCAATCGCCTGTAGCTTTCACCAAGGCAGGGAGGGAGGGGAGGGGACGGCTCCCAATGACGAGCTGGCTCCCGTCGTTGACTTCAAAGAGCCGGCTCTTAGAGCCGGTTCGTTCGCGACCGACACATCACTATTCAGTGTGAGCCGCCAACTGTCGTGACTCACTGGTGGTTTGAGAAGACAAACAAAAACTGATGAACTAGTAGAAGTACTTTCTATGGTAAAGAAAGTAAATTTATTACAGGGTATCCGCGGGTCCTTGAAAAGTCTTAAATTTGCTTTTCCTTAAAAATCCTTAAACAGTTTCCAAAGCTCTTAAATGACCAAAGACCCAATAAACAAGATTATTTTATTTCTATAAAGTTTTCGTGGACTTCTAGTTGGTGTTCAGCATTTTTTGTGTACGATGTTGGCGTAAACGCAACTGTACACATTCAGTTGGATGTGAAAGGGGCTATTTTTAGATGGTTAAGCTAGTGGGAGCTTGCGCCATGGGGAAGTGCAAGTTTAAATTCAACTGGATGGCTAATCCCACGTTTGTGACGTGGTTATCACCAGTTCCAGGCAATAGCTGGAAAATATAGCTTAAATTTGGCTCCCTTAGACCTGCAGAAACCCTGTATTCTCAAGGTACATAGTTAGATGATGAAAATGGCTGTTTTTGAGTCCAAATATGGTGTTCACTTCAACTGTATAGATCTAAAGTTTCGGAGGTCCTGTGCAGTCGTCCCCTTTTTCACACCTTTTGAGTTTGCAGGCATGAGATGACTTTAAGGCAGCACAAGATATAATGCAGGTGCTGCTGTTAGAGGCTCATGAACCTAACCACATTTGAGACTTTAATATTTCTGCTCCATACAGAGTTTGTAACACTTAGCCCTGTTCTCAGACAAATGTTGCTAAAACTAAACAGTATAACGAGAAAAAATAAGTTATTAAATATTATTTTTATATAAATGTTTTTTCTTCCTAATAGGACCTACCCGACAGCATCCAGGTTGGTGGGAGGATAAGTCCTCAGACAGTTTGGGATTACCTGGAGAAGATCCGAGCAACTGGAACCAAAGTGAGTTTTAGGTTTACATGAATACATGTGCTTGTTGGGGGTGGGGGTGGGGGGGACTCCAGAGCATTTGACCAGCTTGAAAACTTTATTAAATGTGTCAAAAATGCAATCAGCCTCACAAGCACATTCAGAAGCTTGACCTTGGTGCACAACTTCTGTCATATTCTGCTGTTTGCAGATTTTACTGACACATGCTTTTTGTTTCATTAAAGGAGGTGTGCCTGGTTCGCTTTGCCCCCGAGACAGAGGAAGATGAAATCTCCTACACTCTTCTTTATGCCTACTTCAGCAGTCGTAGACGTTTCGGGGTGGTGTCCAATAACCTTAAACAAGTGAAGGATATGTATCTTATCCCCCTGGGAGCTACAGAAAAAGTTCCTCATCAGCTGGTTCCCTTTGATGGACCAGGTAACCCGAGGAGTAAATCTCTTTTTCCTTCTGATTGTTTCATTAAATCTGGTCGGCATATCCAATTTGTCCAACTGAATTAATGTTTGACCTTCTTTAGGGTTAGAAAACAACCGCGCCAACCTTCTGCTTGGACTCATCATTCGCCAGAGACCTAAAAGAGATTTTCTTCCTGTAGACGTGAATGAATCTGCAAGGATCGTTCCTGAAATCAAGCCCATCACCGTTCCTCCCAAAGTTATCCGAACAACCGAGGAGGATGAGAAATTATTCCTGTCTTCTCTCACCGCATCGCTGAAAAAAGAGGTGGAGAAGCCGCTCGACACTGCTCAAGAGGAGCCTGTGAAGTCTTTAGAAGAACCAACTACAACAGAGGAGCTTAGTAGTCAGGAATCACAAAAGCCGCTTCGCTTTCTTCCAGGTGTGCTGGTGGGCTGGGGCGGAGAACTTCCTCCTCTGCCAGTTTTCAACGATAAGCCACTGAGAACTGGGCAGAACACCCCTGAGACCCAGCCTGCTCCCAAAACAGATGCATCAACTGGTAACTCTAAAAGTACGACAGCAGCTTCTCCCCGCTTTGTCATCAAAAAGAAGGAAGGAAAACCAGCTAAAGCAGAATCGGAGCTATCGAGCCCAGACAAGGCATCTGCTTCGAACAGCTCATCGGCTAAAGAGGCCGCAGCACCGGCCCCTCATGCATCAGTCACTCTAAAAGATAAACCTCCAGACGTATCAACGGGTGAATTCCTGGCTAGCTTAGCAGCAGCTCCAAGTGGTCCTGAAACAGAAAAAAGCCCAAGTGAAGGGGTCTCTCCATCACAGTCCCAGGCTGCTTTAGATGACACAAATAGCTCAAAACCTGCTTTGAGTGGAATACTGAAAAAACCTGCAGCTGCGACCGAAGATAAGTCAGCGGTGCTGCAGCAGGATAAAGCCACCCTTCCTGCTGCTCTGAGTCCTAAACCAGTTCCTGTGTTGAGCTGCGCCAGACGGGAGCCAGTGTTACCATTTCACCAAGGATACTTGCAGCTCTCTCAGGCTCGGCACAGACCCGAAGAGCAGAACCAAGCCGCCACTCAATCAGTTCCCAGTAAAAAGGCTGGTGTTGATGCGAGCCAAGCTGGTGCTGAAGCAGTTCAAACACCGAGTCCTCCTCAAGTCCAAGAAGCTCAAGAGTCCTCTAACACAGATCATGACTCTGTAGCGGCTCCAGCTGTCCCAGAATGCAACAGCGCAGCTTCAGACACCGTCTCCACACCAAACACAGACGACAGTTCTTCACAGGCATCTTCTGGACTTCAGCCACAGCACCCAGAGAGTCTCTCAGAACCATCTGTCCAAGTCCCATCCGTGGCCAAAGACTACAGACGACCAGACGAGCTTTACACCGACCCCTGGGAGAGGCAGCGGAGCTCCGAAGACCGAGACCACGGTAAGCACGGCTACCACAGGGACTCCCACCACGGGAAAAAGAGCCGACACCACGATAGGGATTGGGAGAAAAGCGACAAGCACAGGGAGAGGAGCAGACACCATTCACACTCGGACGATCGTCACGCCGAGAGGAGGAAAGAGAGGCACCACAAGGACCGCCACCGGCACAGACGGGACTCTGACTACGAGAACGGACGAAGAAGTTCAAAAGACAGTTACTCATAATTTTTATCTTTGGGGTTTTTAAAGACTTTCACTCACATGGCTGGTATCTATTTTATTTTTCATACATACAAATATACACACACCAGTCTGTATCCAGAACACATATTTCTCATAAGTTTCTTTTCTATTATTCAGCCAAAGTTAGGTCTTTCAGTAAAATAATTCAAATCCATACAATTGTTGTTCAAACCTAGAAAAACTTCATTTGAAACCTTTTCGACAGAATTTTTGTAAAAACGGCGCCCACATCGAGCTTCTGAACTGACCGTTTGAGATGAGCTCTAATTTTTAGTCTAAATGTTTAAATATTTAAATACAAACTGGTTTAAAGCAGCAGCATTGTCTTTTGTTTTTAGCCTAAATTGCTTAAATATTTTATAAGCATATCTTCGGTTGTGGAAGTTTGTACATTTTGGCTTGTAAAATATGTGTGCCTTTGCACTGTGTGTTTAATGTACAGTTGGTAATAAAACTAATCCTTTTTTTATTATCGATTATAAACATGTGCTGTTTGTATTTTATTGATGCATCAAATATCCCTACAGACAAACCTAAAGACTACGTTACACAACAAGACCATCATGTATGTTAAAACCCTCACTGTTTCTAACGAACCGTTCTGGTTTCGTATCTCCAAACAATAAAATGTTTCTGATGCTTCCTTCTAAACCTTTTGAAAAAATCTCAGAGGTGATGACCGACATGTTTTTGTGAAGTTCAAAACCTCCAAAGTAAACCAGACCCCCGTAGTTTAAGGCTACGTATCTCTCAAATGGGTCCAGATCTTCCAAAATGCTTTCTCTACCGTCCAGGAACACCTGGACGACTGTGCTGTTTAGATTTAAGGACACGTTGTGCCATCTGTTGCAACACAGAGAGACATTTTTGAAAGTTAGAGGAAAACAAAACCTTTCTCCAAGATTAACGGCAATCTTCAGATGACCGCCTTCAAGTCCAACTGCGAGGTAGTCGTCGTCTCCGTGCTCGGCCTTTCCCACCCACAGGATCAAACCGTCTCTGGAGCTTGTGCGGAAACTGAAAGAGACTTGTGTGTATTTCAAGTTTCTTGAGTTGAATCTCTGGTCTTTATATTTAATGTAGGATGTTCCAACAAACCTGAAAGTATCTGTGGACATTTCCGTGTTGCAGTAAGTCCCTGTCCATCCTAAAGGACATATGCATTTGTAGGAGGCGACAGCAGACACAGCACATATGGAACCACGTCTGCAGATGTTTTTTATGCAGTTTATGGACTGGTTACACACAGGGCCAGTCCATAACGACGGGCATACACATACAAAGGAGTTAAACCCTGTAGTTTTGCACCGACCTCCATTTTGACACACTTTAAACCCACAGGGTGTTCCATCCCAATCACCTACGTTTGCTCCACCAACGGCTCCCACCTCCGTTAGCTCAAGCTCTTGACCATTGATTAGAAGTTCCCTCAGACCACCTGTAAAGCTCATTGGCTCCCTTTCCGTTGCGTCTGGAGAGACAAAGCTTAGAGTGGACACACCTCCAACAAAGACGTCTGTAGCCACGTCAAGAGTGGTCATCCTCTTGGTCCCATTTTCTCTGACCTCCTCATTGTCCAGACTAAGGAAGGCTTGGTGACCAAATCGTCCAGCCTTCACCGTGTGCCAGGTCCTGCCGAGCAAGTCCACTTTCTTAGTCGTCTGTAGGATGTGGGTGCCATCTCCTAGATTGTATCTTAGCTGGACAAACCCAGATGTCAAGGAGAGACAGATGAAATCTCCTGGGGAAAAAAGGAATGTTCTCATTGTGAACTAGTTCTTTAGACGACCTTCCTAACATATCCTTTATACAGGGAGTGCAGAATTATTAGGCAAGTTGTATTTTTGAGGAATAATTTTATTATTGAACAACAACCATGTTCTCAATGAACCCAAAAAACTCATTCATATCAAAGCTGAATGTTTTGGAAGTAGTTTGTAGTTTGTTTTTAGTTTTAGCTATTTTAGGGGGATATATGTGTGTGCACGTGACTATTACTGTGCATAATTATTAGGGAACTTAACAAAAAACAAATATGTACCCATTTCAATTATTTATTTTTACCAGTGAAACCAATATAACATCTCCACATTCCCAAATATACATTTCTGACATTCAAAAACAATACAAAAACAAATCAGCGACCAATATAGCCACCTTTCTTTGCAAGGACACTCAAAAGCCTGCCATCCATGGATTCTGTCAGTGTTTTGATCTGTTCACCATCAACATTGGTGCAGCAGCAACCACAGCCTCCCAGACACTGTTCAGAGAGGTGTACTGGTTTCCCTCCTTGTAAATCTCACATTTGATGATGGACCACAGGTTCTCAATAGGGTTCAGATCAGGTGAACAAGGAGGCCATGTCATTAGTTTTTCTTCTTTTATACCCTTTCTTGCCAGCCACACTGTGGAGTACTTGGACGCGTGTGATGGAGCATTGTCCTGCATGAAAACCATGTTTTTCTTGAAGGATGCAGACTTCCACTGCTTGAAGAAGGTGTCTTCCAGAAACTGGCAGTAGTACTGGGAGTTGAGCTTGACTCCATCCTCAACCCGAAAAGGCCCCACAAGCTCATCTTTGATGATACCAGCCCAAACCAGTACTCCGCCTCCACGTTGCTGGCGTCTGAGTCGGACTGGAGCTCTCTGCCCTTTACCAATCCATCCATCTGGCCCATCAAGACTCACTCTCATTTCATCAGTCCATAAAACCTTAGAAAAACCAGTCTTGAGATATTTCTTGGCCCAGTCTTGACGTTTCAGCTTGTGTGTCTTGTTCAGTGGTGGTCGTCTTTCAGCCTTTCTTACCTTGGCCATGTCTCTGAGTATTGCACACCTGGTGCTTTTGGGCACTCCAGTGATGTTGCAGCTCTGAAATACGGCCAAACTGGTGGCAAGTGGCATCTTGGCAGCTGCACGCTTGACTTTTCTCAGTTCATGGGCAGTTATTTTGCACCTTGGTTTGTCCACACGCTTCTTGTGACCCTGTTGACTATTTTGAATGAAACACTTGATTGTTCGATGATCACGCTTCAGAAGCTTTGCAGTTTTAAGACTGCTGCATCCCTCTGCAAGACATTTCACTATTTTTGACTTTTCTGAGCCTGTCAAGTCCTTCTTTTGACCCATTTTACCAAAGGAAAGGAAGCTGCCTAATAATTATGCACACCTGATATAGGATGTTGATGTCATTAGACCACATCCCTTCTCATTACAGAGATGCACATCACCTAATATGCTTAATTAGTAGTAGGCTTTCGAGCCTATACAGCTTGGAGTAAGACAACATGCATGAAGAGGATTATGTGGACAAAATACTCATTTGCCTAATAATTCTGCACTCCCTGTATAGTACTTTGTGAGAATAAATAATTTCAATAATAATTTAGTTCCTGGGATGGGGAACTTGACCAGGACATAGGACGTCCCAGTCCTCCTTTAACCCTCTGGGGTCCATGGACGCGTATCTGAGTCTTCTGAACAGGTCTGATTTGGGACATTGTAGCAGCAAGACTCCGCCTCCCTGAGTTTCGGTTTCAATTCAGCTTTAAAAAGGAGATTATAAACTACACCCCAGTTTTTAACATTTGTTAAGGCAACGTAAAAGCGGAGTTATACTAAACTAGAAAAACGACCTATTTTAGACAGCCTGATGACTTGTCAAAACAGCAGTTTAGTAATCCGTGAGAGGGAATTTGCTTGTGAACACAAAAACATGAGACCCTTTTGCTGTTGGTGGAAGTCTCACATATTCAATTGATAAAAACTATCATTATGTAGCTGAGAGAGAGAGGAAGGCCGCACGAGTAACGAGATGTGTGCAAAAAGGAGCCGCTTTGCGGGGAAAGGAGTGGCGTGAACGGAGTAACAACAAACAATTAGACAGATATTGACGGTAAACTTCATATTTTGGAGCGATCCGGACAGATATATTGTCTCTGCAGTTTAGTAGGCTTTTATTAGGCTTATATAAAGGATGATGAGAAGGATAAATGTCCACTAGGCAGTTCAGATGGCTGTTTTTGAACTGGAAGCAGAGGAAGTGGACGGAGACTCAGCCGGAGTCTGAGGCAAATAGCGAGGATGTTGATGACGATGTGGCAGATCCATCCTTCCTCATAGAAGAGTTGGGTAATGATGAGGTAGAGGATGAAGGCAGAGATGCAGCTCCTCAGAGATCCAACAAGAGGAGTGGGCGGCGCCGCCCAGCTGTCAGATCTCGATCTCCGCGGCGTGAGACAGAGCCACACCCCACTCCAACATGCATGTGCATTATTGCCACATTAATAAAATAAGTATAAATTCAGATAGTCCAGGTTGTCCTGAAAAAAATGATACCCCATAAGATAATATTTATTGTTTTTATTAGAAAATACAAAAGATATATTTTGAAATATTTATATTTTGAAACCTCAAAATATAAAAGATATATAGCTAAACGTTATCCAATATCTTCCTTATAAACTGTCATAATTATGAAGTTATTCCTGAGCTTTTTTAAATGACCCTAACAGTTTGGGAAGAGCACAGCTTCATAAACATAAAAATGTTTTAGAACAATAAATATTTAATGCAGAATGTTTTTGTTGGAATAAATATGAATTAATAAAACTTTTATAACCTTAAAATTAAGTCTCTGAATAATAGGCGTATGTTGAGCCAGCATCTCAGGCTCTCGAGGGGATAAACAAACCAAACTGAACCGAATGCAGCGTATTAAGCAGTAAAATGAGTATTTTTCATTCTGATATTTGTACTTTTTCATCTAAATATCTCTTCATGGACCACGAGGGTCCTCCAACAAGTTAAACAAGCCTGTGGTTTATTTGTCAGCAGTTTAACTAAATGATCATTTTAAGGAGTAGATTTAACTGATATTTCATTCCCTAAAACCAAGCATGGGACTTACAGACCAACAGCTACTAATATTGACTTTTCTTTTGCACAAATTTGCCATTATGTTAAATTAAGAATCCTTTTGAGAGGAAAAAAAATGTTTTTCAACTGATCTGGCTTCACAACTTTCTGAATGCCTTTTTAGAATAAAAATGCAAGAATACATTTTCATAAGAAATTTCTAATTAAGATCTAAACATCTGAACAACTCCTCACCAGCTCTGGAACTGAGATGCTGTGCAGAGTACAAGAGGATGCCATCAGGTGACAGAGGCTGGAACTGCAGCTCTATTACAGCCCTGTGTCTAATCCTCATAGATGGGAATGACATCCAAGAAGACTGGTTAGCGCTGAAGAATGGATCGCTGATGGTGACAGCTGAACGAGAAAGATAACAACATTTAAATCATTCATCAGTGTTGTCTTTTGAAATAAAGGTGTCCCACAAAGCAGCCGGGTTCTGCAGTGAAACCTCTCTGGCAGTGGAGTCCTGCAGTCCCCAGGGGGCACCGACAGGTATATCCATTGGGCAGAGGGATGCAGGTGGATCCCTGGGCACAAAGAGGAGGAGGGTTGTGCTCAGCGTCACACACAGACACGTTCTCAGTGCAGAGAGCTCCTTTCCATCCAAAAGGGCACTGGCAGCTGTGGACGGGAACAATGCAACTCAGTAATTGCTCTCGTTTTCTTTAGCTACACGGCAGCTAACTCATGTCACAAACAGGGAAAGGGCATCAAAAGGCTTTGTTGATGTACGGCTTACTGCCAAAGCCAACGACAGAAAGAACACCAGAAAACATTTTCCCACTTACTACACAGAAGAGCCAGAGTCCACGCATGTCCCCCCATTCTTGCAATGAACCTGAACACAGGGAGTGACTCCACACTGACCCACACTTCGCCCAAAGGCTGGATGACCCGCAGGCTGCCCCAACGCCTGAAACCTTCCATCCCGTCTCGTCCGAAACTGCACATCAAAAATGCACCCTTAGAGACACAAAATGATTTTATTAGTCTGATGAAGAGGCACAAATACAAGTCAGTGCATGCATATTGAGACCCAAAATGTTGTGCATTGTGCTTTCAGTTTGCATAATTTGTACAGTGCTTGAAAATAATTAGATTTGTAGCCTATTCCAATATATTACACAAATGGATTATTCCATAACTTATTAGATCCTGAAGAGCACCTGAAATATATATTTTCATATTCATCTTTAGGTGTGAATGAAACAAATTTCATATTTACATATTTTTTTGTAACATTTAATTTACAAATAATTTATTACATGTCCACCTCAGTGGACAGCGTGCAATCTGAACATGAAATATGTCGGCTTGATTTACTGAAGTACAAATGGAGCGGCTCAAATGCAATAAAGTCTTCAACAGCTGTGCTTAATAGCAAAAATAAATAAATAACAATTTTGAGTACCTGTCCACTGTAGTGACCATTATGCATCAAAGGGTTAAGTACACAAGAATATGATGGGGCTACTAATGCGTACACAGTAAATGCATTTAAATGCAATTTACTACTATGAAAAAGATAAGCCAGAATCAGAAGGTTTTTTTGCCATATGTGAGAGAATCACAACATTAGGAAATTGCAAAGTAAAGTAATGAAAAGTACTTAAACTGTTCTTACTGTTACTACGGCTTAAAGTGAGTATATTTTTCCTGGCGATTGGCAGCAGTACATACCTAAATCACTGCAAGCAAGCTGTACTTTTGTGTTTGAGTAAGACCTTACCAACGGATGGCCATGAGGCAGGGGGGCAGATAGGATTTTCAAACTGGGGGGACAAAGTTCCAATGTACCCTCCCCCAAACACACGCACGCGCACACACACACACACACACACACACACACACACACACACACACACACACACACACACACACACACACACACACACACACACACACACACACACACACACACACACACGTACACATACACACGTACACATACACAAACTATTGCAAGCGCCTTAACTAGAGCTCAGTCAGTTTGTGTAATTTCATCCAATGGTTTACGTAAAAACTAACACATTTATATCCATGTTTGAAGCCATTATGCAGTGGAACGCTGGCAACAAAGCTCTGCCTGATCAACACTATAAATGATAAATGATCTGCACTTGTATAGCGCCTCTCAGAGTAAGGACTCCAAAGCGCTTTACACTACAGTGTATGATTCATTCATTCACACACATTCACACACTGATGGAGATGAGCTACGATGTAGCCACAGCTGCCCTGGGGCGCACTGACAGAGGCGCCCCACTATTTAATTCAGTCATTTGTTATTCTTCCAATCAATTACTAACCAAAACCTCATGCTTTATGCAAAACATTAAATGATTTTCAGCATACCAATCTTTACAGAAAACATAAAAGCACTAAAAAACTGCACATAAAATATAATAAGAAACAATATTCACTTATCACTTAGAGCAGTGGTTCCCAAACTTTTCAGCCTGACCAGCAGATGTTCCTTTGTATTTTTATGTTATTTAGAAATTTTCATTATATTTGGAAAGTTTTAATTTATATATAAATACATAAATCTCTTAAAATTTTATATTTTACCTTTTTTATGATTATGTGGCACACTTGACTTCCAAATATAACACATCGGCATCTGCCTCTTTTTTACGGCTTTTTTTTTTACATTGTCGCTACGTCTGTCACGTTAGCGGTGTTTTTACCATCATTTCTACATCCATCACGTCCCAGAGAAGGTTAAACCAACATCAGACCCAACGTTTGGAGCTTGTAAGCTCCACACACCTCTCGTGCAGCACCAGCTGTCTGATGCTGCAGCAGCGTCAATCGTCCCGGCTGGATGAGAGAATTTCTTCATCAGAGTCAGTCATGACCAGACAAAGTGATCAGTCAACAAAGACCAGACCTGCCGGCAATTATACGTTTTATCTAATATTTACGCTCTTCATGTTGTGCACATCTCCTCCTCTCCCAGACTGGGAGCCTCTCTGCGGGAGGCGATTTTCAAACTCTAAAAACTTGCAAACTTTGCTCAGCCTGAAGGTTCCACATCTCCACTATCTTCTGATGTAAAGTAGTAACTTCATGAGGGATCATATTTGTAGATGAGACTTGTTAAAGTCAGCAATGAGGCTTTGGCGCTTATAACGAGTAAGTCCCAACACTGACAACAACGTACTGAAACTAGAACCAACACGCATAAACAGACAGATCGGTCCCGCCTACTTACACTGTTGGTCTTTTTAAAATACGCAGTAATTGTTGCTTGCCTTTTTCACTTCATCCTGCATCCTAGCAGCACTTTGGCGCCTCTGGAGTCGGTGTTTGTTTACGTCAATGCTGCATTCAATGTTATTGGAAAAAGGAGCTTCAAGCGCTAAACCTCTGATTTTGTTTTCTTTCTGGCCTTAGTTGGGGGGGACGGATCGGGGTCGATCTGAATCTGGTGGGACAGATCCCCCCCGTCCCCCACCCTATCTGTGCGCCTGCCATGAGGGTCAAAAACCCCTGGGAGCACAACTTCCAGCTAAATGACAAGTACATCAGACTTTTTCATCACTGGTAACGAGCGAAGAGGTAAATATGTAAAACAACAATGTTTATGAATGGTGAACGTTTTGTAAGCGTTTGTTACAAAGAAACAATTTAACACGACATTCTGCTGAGCTGTGGTGGCCTCATGGAGGGGGCCATCGACTAGCACACTGCTGCTAACCACAAAAACATTCTCCCTCTCCTGATAATAACTTTTTGCTTTCCTTGAAGTTGGATGTGCTACTACTAGTTTATCCGTTTAATTATAGATCCACTAGGATAAATACAATAAAGTTTATCTTTCACCAAATAGAATATTTACTAAGAAATCACAATGTAACTATAGACACATTACTAGTCTTTGTGCGTGCGTGCGTGTGTGTGTGTGTGTGTGTGTGTGTGTGTGTGTGTGTCTGCTCTGTCTTCTCCATCCCCAGTGAGTCGTGGAGGATGGCTGCTTATACTGAGCCAGGATCCTCTGGAGGTTTCTTCCTGTTAAAAGGGAGTTTTCCTCTCCACTGTCGCTTTATGCTTGCTTGGTATGAGGATTGCTGTATAGTCACTGACACTAGTCAGTGACTTGATGCAACCTGCTGGGTTCCTTATATAGGACACATTATTTCTGATTGGCTTATTGAACTGACCTGGATTGGAATGTTTATTATGTGAAGTGCCTTGAGACGACTCTTGTCATGATTTGGTGCTATATAAATAAACTTGAATTGAATTGAAGACTCTAAACACACAAAAAGCCCACGGCCCTGATGGGGTATCTCCTGCCACTCTAAAGCACTGTGCTGAAGAGCTGACCCCAGTGTTTACGGGCATTTTAAACTCCTCACTAGAGGCATCTCATGTGTCCACCTGCTTCAAGATCTCCACCATACTCCCTTGTCCTCAAGAAACCAAGGATCACTGGACTCATTGACTACAGACCTGTGGCTCTGACATCTGTGGTCATGAAGTTATTTGAGCACCTGGTTCTCCCCCACCTCAAGACCCTCACAGCCCCCCCTTCTGGACCCCCTGCAGTTTGCCTATAGAGCCAACAGGTCTGAAGATGATGCCATCAACGTGGCTCTACACTTCATCCTGCAGCACCTGGACTCCCCGGGTACATACGCTAGGATCCTGTTTGTGGACTTCAGCTCTACCTTCAATAAAATCCTTCCAGACCTCCTCCAAGACAAACTGTCCCAGATGACCGTGCCTGACACAATCTGCTGGCGGATCACTGACTTCCTGACTGACAGGAAGCAACAAGTCAGACTGGCGAAGAATCTCTCTGACCTGCAGACAGCACCGGTTCTTCTCAGGGCTGTGTTCTCTCCCCTCTGCTCTTCTCCATGTACACCAACAGCTGCACCTCCAACAGCAAGTCTGTCAAGTTCATCAAGTTTGCAGATGACGCCACTGTCATCGGACTCATCTCTGACAGGGATGAGTCTGCCAACAGGATGGATGGTCGAACGGCTGGTTTCCTGGTGCAGCCACATCAACCTGGTGCTAAATACCCAGAAGTACTTGCAGGTTGTTGTGGACTTTAGGAAGCACAACCCCCCTCCCCCACACCTTGTCTGACACTCCTGTCACGATGGTGGACTCATGTCACCCAATGTTTTCAGAGATAAATGGTAAAAACTACACAATGTCTCTTTAATTATATACAACACAAAAATACAAGTTCAGTGAGCAATTTTGCAAGTATTATGTAGTGATTTGTCTTAGATATAGTAACTTGTGCATTTTATTTTGTATTAGTAGCTTCAACAATGAATTACCTATTACAGTGTAGTTATTATTTTAAGTGTACTCGCATATCTTTTGAAGGAACTTATTCCAAACTTCTTGAAAATTGACCAAAGATCTTTGGTAGATGTAAGGTGTTTAAAATTATTTCTTTATGCAGTTCCAGATGTACTCAACAATGGCTCATGGATCTAAGCAGGTTATACTCAGCTCAGTGTCCTAGCGGCATGAGTGTCCACCCTGAGACTAGGAGATTGTGGGTTCAAATCCACGGTCGGGTCATACCAAAGACTTGGAAAAATGGGACCCAATGCCCTTCCTCTTGACACTCGGCATTAAGGGGTTCGATTTTTGGGTTAAACCACCAAATGTTTCCGGAGCGCAGCTGTGTCTGTAGCTCACCTCTCTCCCGGGGGATTGGTGAAACGCAGACAACAAATCTCACTACTGTGAGACGACTAATGGGACTTTATTCTTTAACTTTTACCATCCCTTCTATGACCCTTTTTTGATATTAGTTCTATAAAGTAACATAACTTTTATCTATATTACCTGATGATATTTCTGCACATATCTGAGTCACTTGTTCACACGTTAGAAGTCCCAGCAGTTTGAATGAAGACCACAACTGGGCCGATGGTTAAACCCGGGTTCATTGGGTTCCTGCTGGATCTGAGCCGATCACACCTTCCCATTTCAAAGGGAAGTGAGCATGATGTGTCTTTCATCTGTCTTTTTGGAACACTGAATACGTTCTTCAGCATTGCTCAGTTCTTTGTGCTCCTTCAAAAAAAAAAAAAAAAAAAAAAAAAAAAAAAAAGGTAGGACAGCTCACGATGAAACCTCAGGCTGCTTTGAAATCGTTACTGCGGAGGGACCGTGCTGATCTTGTTGCTGAGCTCAGGCCAGATGCGGTCTCTGACCTCTGCCATGAAACTATTCTTCACAACCTCAGCTTGATAGAAATAGCCTCGCTGTTCCTCCCCTGGTCTTAAACCTCTCACACAAACAGCTGCTTCCATTTCAGGTAATGACTGTGTTTCAGTCCACAAATGAAAGTGATGATTAGCACCTGTTTGGAGTAATGAGTTAATCATGCACCTGACTGTAACCCTATGAAATCCTTGAATGTGTGCACAAGACATAAAAGGGTGAGTGCATTCTTTTGCATATTGTAAATCAATAAAAAAAAGTATAATTTCAATTTGAGCAAGCATCGAACATTTTTAACACCTGCCTTTAATTTGATTGGTTAAATTCTCTGCAGTCCTTCAAGCTCCCATCAGAGATGCTCGATTTTTTTTAAACATCCACACCCCTCCCCATCTGTTATTTAGCATCTCCAACGACATATTTGCTTTTTCTATCATCATTTAATTTTATCAAGACAATATTTGCTTTGGCCTGCACCTCCAGTGCCCAGAGCCTTCTATAAATATAAGGCCTGAACGCAGCCCTCGCAGTCATCTGCACACGCCGACTCTCCCCTCTCAGCTGCATTAGTCACTGGCATAAACAGGATGCAGGGGAAATGTCACGCTCCTTCATGAATATTCATGGCATGATGCTGTCTACTTGGCAGACTCAAGTGACGGTTGTGCTGCAAACACAGACCGTCGAAAAGCAAAGCAGATTCATGAGGATGATTAGAAAAGAGGGGGCACTTTGAGTCTGCTGTGCACACATCAAACTGTGGAGGCAAAACTCAAGCAGCCAAGATCAGCTGTAGAAATAAAGCTGGAAAATGTATTTTCATAGAATGTTTTCTAGTATATTATTGTAGAAATCTACCAAATCGATACGTTTTCTAAAAAACAATTATCGTAAAGCACAATAAACTCCTCTCCTTCCTGTTTCTTTACTCTACAGCTTAAAAAATGTTTTCCTCACAGCAGCACCGTTTTCTCCTCCATCTTTCCACAGGGGAGTGTGGATCTGTTGATAACTGGAACTGAAGTGCATTATCAGTGTGTTCACTGCCAGCCATCATGATTAGGGCTCCAGGAAGGTCACACAGATCTGATTAGACACTCATGAGTTCTCATTAGATTTGGAGTAGAAAGGTTATGCTTCCACCAGTGTGGCCCGGCTCAGGTAGCACCTACCCATACAACCCAAAGTGATTCTGACAAACCGACAAATTAGCATGGCTGATTAGACATTTTTAATAATAATAATGGTGTTTTAGACACAAAAAAAGCCAAAATATTAGCCTAGAGATCTAGAAAAACCATAGGAGTGGCTTGGTGTAAGCTGGGCTGTTACAACCCAGATGTAGAAAGGTGGAGAAGAGTGTAAAATAAAGCAGAAGTGTGTGAGTACGTAAAATAAACAAAGGGTTTATTTTACCACGGGGTAGTATTCCCAGGAAGAGGCAGTACTAATTACAAACACAAATATACACAGGTATTTAACACAAAACCCCTTTAGGCTAAATGGACTACAAATAACCCTGAAGGGAGAAAACTCTGGATGTCTTAACTGTTAAACTAAAAAGAGTTCCACCATAACCAGTTCACCTGAAACAGAAAGAGATTCTATGTGGTAGCATTCTTCAGCAATAACTAACAAATCCACCACAGTTCAGGCAAACAAAGTTCTAATGCTACTTACACTGGAACTACACAAGTGGCTACCTAAAGCACGATGCCTATCAAACTGTTGAAATGTGTTCGGAGGCAACAGCACGGATCCAAACGCCTGGAGCGCCGGGCAGCCTCGGCGTTTTAAGGGGATCCATTCATTAGGTGTCTTTAGGGCAACTCTATGTTTGACTTAGCACCAGAGCGTTATTTTACCTTAGTTTAGTTTTTTACAATGAAGGAGCAAAGAGCAATTTCAGAGCAAAACAGCGATGGCTTAGGCTCAGGAACTGCATTTGAAACGTCTTTGGTATCAACTTTGGACTATTTAGACGTGAGCAGATAGAGGTATTGGTCATTTATTTAGAAAAAACGTGTGTATTTGCTGCTTCTTTGATGATGTGTGGCAAACTGCCCAATGACTGATTTCTGTAGAGATGAATACATCACGGTGTTCATTGCTCTGATTGGTCCTAGCACTGTCCAGTCGTGACAGTGTGAAGGACAACCGTCGATTCCGTCCTGAAGACTGAGCTCCATCTATAGGTCGTGGCCTAAACATTTCCATATATAAGATGGCTTACCAGGCTAGCACCTTCACCTTTATGAATAAAAAGCTTCTGTTCACCTAAAACAGATCTGTCGTGAACCTTTATGAAAACAAGCTCTGTTGGTGTGCTGCAGAGACAGCTGATCATGGTTCTATTGGCATTCACCGCTCTTGCCACTATTACAGTTACGGCAATTTCGCTGCACAGCTCCACACATTAGCAGCCACGATGGATTCCCTCCAAAATCTATTCTAACATGAGGTGACCTGGGAGGATGCATAAGCGATGCTGATGTTGACAAAGATGATTTGGATAGCGCCCTTGTTCAAGGGACTTATCAGCAGTGGAAGGCATTTACACACAACACACTGTACGGGGTGTGAGTGCAAATACAATCAACCTCAAAGCCCCGTTCTGGCCTCTAACTCCCTTTTCATTACAGACCTTCCCCCTGCTTGCAAAAGAAGGAAATGCTGGGAGAGACTCCAAGCCCCGGCGCACAGATCACAGGTTTGGGCTGTAATAAAGCTGTAGAAGTCTTACCTTGAAAGCCTTGGTGGAACCTGGAGCCAAGCGGCAGCAGTTCAGGGGTGAATTCGTTATATCCACCTACAAAGAGCTGGTTGAAGACATTGAGGCCCACCAAAGGCCAAGGAGAAAATCCTGTTCTGTTACGCTGCTCATCAACCTGAGGGAGACATCACGGAACACTGATATTCATGCTGGGGTCGTACGTCTGTAGGCGTCTGTGTCCACTCATTAGTCACGCTAATAAACTCCCATTGTTATGCCTCTATGAGACATCCTTAAGGCACCAGTGCCACCTGTAATCTCAATTTATTGTTCAGATTTTCACAAACTGCAGTTTTTTTAATCAGAATCACATCATGCAAACATCCTGTCCCACTCATTAACCTGATCTGAACTCATCGTACTACCATGACTAAGAATAATTTCCTCAAGTCTTTAGTTATGAAAACATAACCAGAGTTATGTTCTCCTCAAGTTTGTGTCAAATGAGTCAAAAAAAACAAACCTTCAGGCTTCATAAGAACTGGAATTAAGTTCAGAAAACAACTAAAGATAAATGTATTCAATAAAAACATAATGTCATAGTTAACCTCCTAAGACCCCATGTCCTCATATTTTATTCACTTCAACTTAGACACTAATTTAGAGACAGTTGATACCGACTTTACGCTTAAATCTTTTGTCTTCTTTCATTTTTTTAAGGAAGTTTGTCAATTTTTTATCTAAATAAAAAAAAATGTTCATGAGAGTCGACTAATCTATAATCTTTTCAATCACACCAAATACAAATTCAGGTCTCAGGAGGTTAAAGCAGTTTAATGTTGCCCTAAAGGCGTCAGGTCGTGTAAACGTTTTGGCTACATTTTTGAGCTAAATCCAGACATTCCACTTTGACATGAGTTTATTATAACGTGGACAACAGGAAAAAGAAAAGTCTTGCTGAGGATTTTAGAGAAACCGATGAAACCAGAACTCTTTGGATGTTTGTCCTCATTCCAATTGAATCCAAATTTGAATTTGCTTGATTAAACATCTTGATTTGAGCAAGAAATCCAAAACTTTACTCATAAAAAAATTGGAAAATACACCAACACCAAATTTAAAAATCATAACATGTGGACATCAGTTAGTTTTATTATGAAAAAATAAATGTCTCATATTTCTCATATTTTCACATTTATTTTGGGAGAAAAATAAAGAGAAAAGGAAGAAAAAAAAGATGAAAGCAAAGATGAAAAAGAAGAAAAACATGAAGAAAAATAATGTTTTTTTTGTATAGCGCCTTTCAATTCTGACAAGAACCACAAGGTGGTTCACGAGCACAACAACAACAAAAAAAGATTATTTATTTAAAAAGTAATGTAGGAAATACATCTTTTAAAAAAAGGATCAAATGGAAAGCAAAATTAATAAACAGAAAATAAAAAAGACAAATTTAAACAGAAAAAAAAGGAAATGATAAGATGGTAACACTTTACAGTAAGGGCCCCTTTATTAACTATTATTATTATTATTAGTTACTTGGTGCATTGTTAATCTTTAATAAACAAAGGATCCTTTCATGTTAACTATTAAGTGTCCTAAAGGTTAGGACCATGGGCCGGTGGGAGGGGTGTCTGCTTAGTAATGCATTACTTAATATGGTTAAGAAGTTGTTAAAAGTTTATTTAATGGTTTATTATTGCTTAATGATGCACTAAGTAATGTTAATAAAGTGACCCTCAACAAGTGAGACTGGGGAAGAATCTCTCGGACCTGCAGCCCATTAGAACCGGTTCCCCTCAGGGTTGTGTTCTCTCCCCTCTGCCCTTCTCCCTGTACACCAACGGCTGCACCTCCAGTCAGGCTCATCAAGTTTGCAGATGACACCACCGTCATCATACTCATCTCTGACAAGTCTGCCTACAGAATGGAGGTCGAACTGCTGGTGTCCTGGTGCAGCCACAACAACCTGGTGCTGAACACACTGAAGACAGTGGAGGAAGCACAAAGCCCCACTCCCCCCCGTAACCCTGTCTGACACGTCCATCACGATGATGGACTCAAGTCGCTTCCTAGGCATCACCGCCACCCAAGACCTGAAGTGGGAGCCCACCATCACAAAAATGTACTGTATACTGTATCAGTACAGTCGATGAGGCAGTTCTACCCCACAGTCATCGAGTCCATCCTCACCTCTTCAACCACTGGAGCTACCACCAGGGACAAGAAGAGGCTGCAGCCTGTTCTACCCTCTGCTGAAAACAGGACCTGTACACCTCCAGAACATTGAGGCATGCAGGTCAGATAACAGCTGACCCGTGTCACCCTGGACACAGTCCTTTTGACTCTCCCCATCTGGCAGGAGGCTCCGATCCATTCGGACCAGAACATCTCACCACAAAAACAGTTTCTTTTCCTCTGCGTTCAAACTCATGAATATCAATCATAGACCTGCCCTCCAGCTGCTTTGTTCCAGTCACATGACCCTGTGTTGTGTTTGCACCTGGACTGATCCGCTCTGACCAGTCCCTACACTGACTTGTATAAAGTAGCTGCTTCTCTAATTATTGTCTCCCTATATTATCATCATTTCATTGTGTTTATTTCTTAATTCTATTTTTTGCTTACTTTTTCGATTTCATTTCACGTTCCAAATTAGTTCACTTATTTTGCTAATCCTTTAACATTCTGGGGATACTTTTATCAATTAAAGGGATGTCTACTGATGAAATAATTATTAAATCTGAGATAAAATCACCTTCAGCCATCCGATTCTCTTTGACCTTCCGAAGGTGATGGAGTGGATGTCGATGCGGACGTCGAGTCGATCACTGACCACGGTCGCGACTCCTGATCCCAGATTAAATCTATGTACAACCCTTCCGCTTCGCAATCCCAAAACAAGAAAGTCATCACCATCACCCCCTGAAAGACACGTGGAAAGTTGTACTGAAAAAACTGAAAATTAGATTGGCTCACATTGTCTCTTTGTGCTTTTTCTAATGAACCTAAGTTGGTATCAGTTACATAATTAACCCATTCTTCCCAGATGTTAACAGATGCCACTTCATTACAGCAGTGAATGATTCATATTTTAGTTTTCCTTCCTTTGTGTCTTTTTGCTCCAGCCTTCCAGGCACGGCTCACCCTCCTGACAAGTGTTTCATTATCCACGTTGCTCTCGCTTTGCTTCGCCTCCACCCAGATGAACTGTACTCTCGAGAGAAAACAACCGCAGAGAGATCTTGTGATTTTGTCTCTCCCTCCTTCCTCAGATGAAATACGCTGCTGACAATGGCGCAGCAGCTAATCTGACCCTGCTGAAAAAGAAATACTAATTTAACGTGATTGCTGTTGACAGCAACCGCAGCGCGCACCTACACCTCATTCTGTCCGGCTTCACAACTTTCAGGGTGATTGGTTCACGTGCTTGTTTTTTATGGCATGAGAGCGAGGCCGAAACATGTCATGCAAGTCGGGAACAAGTAAAAATCTGTTAGGCAGCACATTACCACTCACAGCAGGTGATGTAAATGGCTCAATTTTAAAAAGCATCAAAGAAGATGGACAACTACAAAGATGTTTTTTCCTCTAGTCTCCATCTGAACATATGAATCCTTTTAAATGGCTCTGCGTGTGTCCGGACGAGGCTCACCTTGCCCTTTCTGTCCAGCAAACAGGATCAGGTTGTCTTTGACAGCAGATGAATTATTTGCAAGTGTGAACTTCAGCTTGAACTCGTAAAAAAAACTCAGGCTCGGGACGGAGGCGTAAGCCACAAAGGACGTGTAACCAAACTCATCTCTTCCACTGAATCTGGCACGAGTTATATTGATGTCTGCAAAACAAAACAAAAACACATCACCACCAGCTGCTGCAGGGTCCACAGTGTCTGTGTGATAATGTCTAAACTGAAAGGTCTTATTTATTAGCTCTAACCCAGTTTACCAAAAGGTGGCACTATTGCCACATTTTACAGACCTGCCTTTAAGAAACACATGCATTTTATTTTCTGATGTTAGACGATGACCTGTTTTTCAAATACTACCACCTCCTCACTCCTATTCTATTTTCATCAGTGGCTCTTTAGAAGGAATTCTGGCTTACAGGCTTCACTTCATATGTGATGTTCACAAGGGTAGCACAATAAAACCAAAGGTATTCAATTACAACCTTCAGTTTACATATTCTCAATGCATGGTTGACTCAATAACACCCCACCAATTCATTTCATCTGATCATACCCATCTTCTTGATTTTACATTAGGGACTTGATGTAAATTTACCCACGCTCAATCAAAATTACATGCTGCCATAGTAATTTTCCCTCCACAGTAGTTGGACTCAGACACAAATCTGCTCTTCTTTGTCCAGAAGCCTCCGTGATGGCTAAGAGTAGTTCAGAGCAGCCCTTTGCGACTGCCCTATGCTCACTTTGGGTGTTAAATTATTAATAAAGCTGAAAATGCTTCTGGTATTGTCTTCTGGAGCTGTATTTGTTTTTTTCTCACTGAAGAGCTAAAGCATTTTAGTGTGGTCTTATTTTTAATTATTATTCATATTATGACATTTTTCTTAAATTATAATAGTTCTATGGTCGATATAAAGCATGTTTATTAAGGTCTTTGCACCAAACCCTTCTCACATATAGCTTTGTGGGCAGCTTTATTCTTCTCAGTACCTTCCAGAATGAGCTGTTTTGGTGCTCTGTTACTTTAAGAAAAACAAGGTGCCACTGGCCACGCCTCCCCCTTTCCCCGATTAGCTGCTATAGCTAAGAGACACTGATATCTGGGGGGGGGGGGGGGGTCACAGAGCAGAACCGTTGCTCCTCCAGCAGCAGCTCTCTCTTGCATGAAAAAGATGGTTCTATGTCAGCTTCCCCGTTTGTGAAGTCGCAAATTGAGACTATTTGAAACAGCTCCTTTTTGCCAAACAATTCCTAAAGTGAAACACTGACAGAAAACAGCTAGATGGTGTTTTGTTGTTGTTTACATAGGCTTTAGAGACCCACATGGCAACACTAAGGGATGCGCACACACACGCACACACACACACACACACACACACACACACACACACACACACACACACACACACACACACACACACACACACACACACACACACACACACACACACACACACACACACACACACACACACACACACACACACACACACACACACACAGATCTCTCTGAAGAACTCAGCATTGACGGCTTCAGCAACGCTGTGCCACGCCGTGGATTTTCTCTTATTTGTTTTGCAAAAGCACTTCCTTTCATTTCTCCACCTCACCCACAGGTACCTCAATTTCTTCTTCTGTGAAATTGCACTTCCTTGATCTACGGTCGCCATCGTCATTGGCGTTGTGCTGCAGCAGCCGGCTTATGTATATGCATGAGATCCACAAGGCTCTTTGCATTGACTATTTATGTCAGTAAGTGGGCGTGGTGAGGGCGGGATGTGACTAAAATGCATCTGAGAACCTTTCTAGATAGTTTCTGATTTCTGAAGCGGAGATTGCGTGCAGCTGTGCGTACTCCATGTTTGATATATCACAAACCTACTTGGCGTAAGTACATTGTTTTTGCTGAGCTTAAGTACGGTTTTAGTAAGGATTCTACGCAATGTTTGATAAATGAGACCCCAGATCATTAAACCACTTCTGAACTTAATTACATTTTTTATTTTACAATATAATAAATGTAGTTTTTTGTAATTATAACTTGATTAATCTCTAAACTACTTTCTGACAGTAATTAAAACCTTCATTTTTTTCTTCAGTAAACCTGTCTGACATGTCAAAAATTGTGCTTATGCAAACAAGCAAGCATGTCTTATTTAATTACTGAGAGTTTATACTCCAATGTGTACATGGCATGCTGTCATAAAAATGTTGAAAACTTCACTTTTCTCCCTGGAAATAAATAAAATCTCCAGCTCTGCAGAACCTCCACCGCAGTTTTGTTTTGTTCGACGTGGAGTGTGATGCATCGAGAATCATCCGCCGAATCCTGAGCTGAATCAGAGGACAACAGGAATTCTGATGCTCCATTTTTTCGGAGGAGATGACACTACAGTAGATCTGTGCCACTTAGCTTTGGATGTGCAAAACAAGATTCAATATTCACAACCACAACAGCCTCTGATGACTCAAAAGATGCAGAGGGTGTTGCTTCTGGACTGTATCCATGACACGCAATCAATCATCTTTAAGATTTTAACACTAGATCTTGTCAGAAGGTTTTAAAATGTTTTCCAATGTTGCATGTTTCAAACCAGGACAACATGCAGCAACAGATAAATTGACTCTGAGCTGCTCAGAAGCTCAGAAAACTTCTCCTGACTGAATTTCAAATAATGCGTAGAGCACAAATCTCAGTACAACAAAAGGTCAAAAACAACAAACAAACAACCCCCCTCCCTCACTGAATCAATAACAAACACAAGTGCTGATGCTTCTGAATATTACAGTCCATTCTCACACAGGAGAGTTCGTAAATGAGCTGTATAAAATACACAAGTTTATCCCTCCCGGGCAGATTAAATATTTTGTTGATTTATGAAGTAAAACAGGTGAACGTGTGCAACCTCCCTGCAGCAAAAAAAAGGCAGTAAAACATGAGCAGTTTGTTGGATGCTAATGCTCAGAAATTGTATTTTATTTCATGAATAAACCTCAGAACATGATGAATCTAAATATACTTGCAGATGTGCAAGTAGACGGATGACTTTTTGAACAATCAGAAACCATGGGCTCCTCTAAGCCACTGATGGAGGACCTGAAAATGAAGCTAAATGGTGCCTACAAAGTAGAAGACTACACAAAAAGAGTCAAAAGTGCTCCAAGAGAGAATTACCCACTGTCTGAAATGTAATTAAGAAATGGTGGTTAGGGTAAAATGAAAGTAAAGAGACAAAAACCTGCAATGTGATGAAGGAGCTGTTCTAATAACTAATGTTACAAACCTAAAGAGGAAAAAGATTGTCAGACAACAACCAGATAGAAAAACAGTTTAACTGTCCACAAGAGAGGCTGATGTAAAAACAGGGTCTCATCTGTAGGAATAACCTTAAACCTGATCTTTTGCTATTTGCTGTGGTCTAGTATGAATGAATGCCTTCTGAGTCATGCTCTGTGGAAAAAAAGTTCTGGCGCTCCTGTTTCAGGAAGTAGAATTTTGTCAGAGGAAAAAAAACACAGCATTATTTGGTGTTTCATTACTATTCATGATATTCAGACATCTCGCCTCGGATTGGCTAACAGCAACACAACTCTAGCAACGGCTCAGTTTGGTTTGCAACAATGATGTTTATCTCAACAAATGACACAAGTCTGAAGGAGTGTTGTGTAGTTGCTAAGGCTAACAGTTAGCTTCTATTAGCCAAGAAGTGCTCTGCTCTCTCCTGGATGCTAAATGGGTTAGCCATCCCCGTTATGAACCAAGTGGGATAAGTGTCTATTTTCTTCCGGCAGCTAATACAAATGATAGGGAAAGAGGACAACCTCACATTCTTCATACATGTGAAACTCAGACTGATTGATCGTATTTCAAAAGGATTTATAAAAAAATGGTTTTTCAGTGAAGTTGCTTTTTTTCCCCAAGTGGAAATAGTGATTGCAAAAAAAAAAAAAGAGTTTAACTCAACACTTTGAGCTAAATTAAAGAAAAAAGATAAAGCAGCGCTTGATAAAAGAAGCACATCACCTCACAGCAAAGCCTGATGGTTAAAATATTAAGCTTTTGGGGTTGTGAGGCAGCACAGGAAACATTAAGGACAAAGAAAATAACTAATTACTTTAAGATTCAGCCCAAGTCCCTCAGAAAAGAAAAAGGATAAAAGATTGCAGATACAAAAGAACAACTATCCTAGCAGACCTTAAAATCCTCCAGATACATCAACAAAGACTAGAGGAACCCCTGCTGAACTTCAGCATGCACGCAGAGTTTTGGACATAGTATTCATGCAAGGATTCTAGAAAACATTAAAAATTGAATAAAGCTACAGGAAATAGTTTCTAAATCAAGAACAGGGTCTTTTAGCTTGCCAGAAATAACAGGTTGTTAATATTCGATGAAAAAGTCACTTTTAAAAGTGGGTTTATAAACTCCTGAAAGCAAAGACTAAATGTCTGCATGTAGGGAAAACGGCTTCAAAGAAAACATGTAAATGATGCTGGGACTGGGTTTCCTGACCTTTTGTGTAAAAATGTCTCACTTTGAGTCACTTTCATAAAGTAGGATTTTATTTTACTTTAGATTCTTTCTAGTTTTAGTTCTCTGTTTTGGTCAAAATGTGCTCAAAACCAGGTCAATGATAATCATGACACTTTAAATATTCATTAAAGATGCAATATTTATATTCTCAAGACATTCCAGCATCACTTCTTCCTTCTCTTCTTTTCCTATGAGTGTCTAAATAACTACAACAATCGATTTTGTGATTTCTGCTTTTGGAAACAAAAAGAAAGTAAAGAAAATGTTTCTTTTCAAAGAAAAACATATAGCTGTTCGATCTGCTCTGATGAAACAAGACTTTTGCTTTTTCTTGGAAAGAGAAAGAAAAACTGACAGCCAGGCTGAATAGTAATTAGTGCTCCTCTTTTGTTAAAGTGCCACATAAGGAGAAGTGCCGCAAGTTTCAAGAACAGAAAGGCCTCAGGAGGCTGGGCAGTGATCAGTTTTGACTCTGATCTAATCTGATGTTTCAGGATTAAAATCCAAATGTCAGCTATGTACTTAGTGTGAAAATAGAAGGTTAGACTTCTTTGTTTGGTGCCCGGGTGCTGGGATCCTGACAGAGGCTGTGGCATGGCTGAGTGACTTATATGCCAAGCACCCCGCTGCTGCTATAGTCAGTCTAGTCAAGCAAAACCTTTTGTTTCTGAGATCCACAACCTGTGAAGTCCTTTACTTCACGGCACTGCTGTTGGAAAATAAACATGGAAAGTTGTATATGACTTATCACAATAAAGAAAACTCCCATAACTCTACAGTTCCTCTACAGTAGGGTGACCATACGTCCCCTTTTCCCCAGACATGTCCACTTTTAACTCTCTGTCCGGGCGGGTTTCTTGTATTGATGAAAATATCCGGTTTTTCATCCAGGAGCAGGGATTGAATTTTTTTGGGGGGGGGGGGGGGGGGGGGGGCTGGACATCCTACACATCCAGGGGAGCCGGAAAAAAGTTTTCTACCTATATTACGTCATTTATACGGACTCAGTGTACCAGGGGTTCTCTTGAGCAGAGAGCAGCAGAGCGCTGATCGTTGGTGCGCTCCAGGCACCTGCGTCCAGCGTATGGTCTATTCTCAAAGTGGCGCAACCAAAAAACTATAATGAACACACGATCGTTCATGTCCGCGTATATTCTCTAATTTCTGTCTTATTTGTGCCTGAAGCGCTCTGCTACTGCGGAGCTCATCACCTGTGCTGCGGTGATTTCACCTCACTGACGCAGCATCGAAACGCGCTCTCCGCTTTGCGGTCAGGAGATCCCTTTGATCTGCTCAGAAGTAACTGATGAGGTGAAAAAGTAAGAATCCAGGCAGCAGCTTTTCTGGAGAGTTTAGAGGAGATGCAGGAAGATGAGAAACAGACTGGACAGGAAAATAGTTAAATAAAAACAAGAAAACTAAACAAAGTGTTGAAAAGTAAAATGTAGGTAGATTTATCTCCACTACGCGTTTTTACCTGTATAAAACAATAAGTTATACACTTGTCATATTTATACATCTCATACAATTCAAATAACCTTCAAAACTCTGTCACACACCCAGGGCCGTTTCAAGGCATTCTGGGGACCAAGGCAAAACAGAACACCCCCCACCTCTTATAACTGGGCCCCCAGAAGCCTCTGTGTAATTAATACCCTCTCCGGTAGTGTTAGTTATACAGTGTTTATAAAAGCCCCTCAGACATTGCTGACATGATCTAATATTATCAGATGAAAAACTAAATTATCAGACATGCTGTCTCATCTGCTGCTTTTCTAAACTTGCAAAGAGTAACAAAACCATTTGAAAGCCACTATTTGTGGATTCTCTGAAAGTTTTCATGGAGTCCAAGATTTTTTTTATCATTGATCCTATCATCTAATCTCACAGCTGAAGCAAGCATCGTTAATAATCTGTGCACAGGAAGCGTACCGATGCTGTAGTAAAACAAAATGTATAATAATTTCTTATTAATACAACCTTGTTGCAGCACTAAAGCAGCAGAAAAATTAGATTTAGCAATAAATATGCTAAATATTTACATATGAATTGTTTTAGAGCCCTTTAATTGGCAGAATCCGATATTAATTTTAGCTCTTCACCTAAAAAAAAAGGGTCCCAACGTGGTTTGTTTGGCGTTGCCATAGTGTGACGTCATAAGCACAGATCCCTGTCCTCTTTTTTGGAAATGGAAATATGGTCACCCTACTCCACAGACTTGTGTGCTTGATAACGAACGTCTCTGCTGCAGACTCACATTAGGTTAGGTTTGGCAGTTTTGGCTTGCTTTTGGCACCCCCTAGTGTACATAGAGTTGAACCAAAAGCAAAAACTATCTCCTCCTTGTTTGTCTTTTTAGCACCTGAATCTAACAGCTGAAATGTCTCCACAGCCTTCATTAGATTCTACAAGAACAAATTATCTATATTCATGATCTATAACATGCAGGAAATGTACTGGAACCAGACTGCAGCGCCAGGTATGCCAGCTCCATTTTTTAAAGTCCCAACAGACAGGACCGACAGGTCAGAAGTTGCAAGTGGAATATTCTAGCCACAGGGGGCGATAGGAGCTGGGTAGCCTTTGAATAACCCTGTAAAGGGTCATTGTAGCACATCCTGGCTCGAGAAAATGGTTTGAAAATATGAAAAAGTTGCAAAGTATTCCTTTACTGGAAACACTCGATTGTCAAACTGAATAGATAATCAACCAATCAATGCATTAAGGACTGTCTGAAATTCTGAGTATTAGAAAAGGGAAGAAAGTGATTTGTACTTGGATTGGTTGTTGGAGCCAAACAGGCTGCTCTGAGTATATCAGGAACTGAGATTTTCACCCATGACCATCTCTAGGGGTTTAGAAAAAATGGTCCAAAAGCAAAAGAAGAGAAATTATCAAGTGAATAGCAACAGCCATGTCGGAGAAAAATGGACAGACTGGTTCAAGATGGTAAAAGTTGCTCAGTAGTTCCAAACAAAAGTCGACAGAATTACTTCTCTGAATGTACGACGTGTTGGTCCCAGACGCAGATGGACTCCAGCAGCGTCTGACCACACACCGTGTCACTCCTGCTAGTGGAGAACATGAAACTGGGGCTACAATTCCAGGACTACTAGAACCAAGACCAGAAGAGACTGGGGATAAGGGCAGGGATGTCACTAGTCTTTAAAGATAAGGGGGGCCTAGCCCCCAGGACTCTAGGAAAGAAATAATGAATATCGAGGGTTGAAAAGATGTTTCTACTGCCTGGGTCCTTTCTTCCTTTAGCAGCTTAAATAACCAGAACATAATTTTAATTAAACGTAAATTAGATTATTTTTTTTATCAATGTAAAGGTGCTCTTTTATAAAATGTATACAATTTAATATAGTATGGTAATTACTATATTTGGGGGGGGGAGGGGGGGGGGGGCTTGGGGCCTACCCAAACTAGGCCTAATGGCATCTCAAATTCAGCTGCATCACTCAGATGGCCGAGTCAGAACATGAAAATGTGGCTCCATCCTGACTTGTGCCAACGGTTCAGGATGCTGCCGGTGTTTCCAAAGCCTTGTTGAATCTATGCTACAGTGAAATAAAGCAGTTCTGATGGCAAAAGAGAGCCAACATTCCTACTTTTGAAAGCAAATTTTAAAGATAGTGGACATGAAAAAATAACTATGTTTCAATCAGGCTGAAATTCCAGTTATCAGCAAATAAGATCTTATAAACTTTAAATAGCCTTTTAAAATATTCAGCAAGCAGCCACGAGTTGGATTATCTGACTCCTCTGCTGCAGGAAGACGTTTGCCTTTTCAGCAGAATTTAGCTTCATTAATCCTTTTATTCAACAACAGACTCTGATTATACCAACTGCTAAAGGCTTTCATCTACCGACTGTTTGCTGATTAGTCTCTTAATAAATTAGTCCTTGCTTAACCTATGCTGCATTGTTCTGTGAGAAGCTGTTCCATGTGATGCGTACCTTGGTCACACAGCAGACCCTGTCTTCCAAAAGGGCAGAGACAAACAGCCTCCAGCGGCGACTTTGGGATGCATGTGGCTCCGTGACTGCAGGGGCTGCGCTCACAGGCGGTGAGCTGACACAGCCGGCCGGTGTACAGACGGGGGCACTCGCAGAACCAGTCCTCGCCATCACTGGAGGAGCAGAGAGACATCATTAGGCAGGCTTTTACACTACAGTGGCTTAAAAAACCCACTAAGAGATTCAAGATCTGGAAAGATGGCCATAAAGATAGGAATGGAGAAAGAAAATGTACACCATTATCCATTTGAGTGGTTACAGCACAGACATTCAAACCCTGAACAGCAGCAGCAGAAGGCAGCTTGCCAGAAATAAACTTTTTACATTTTTTGATGTTTTGTCTCCTGACGTCCACTTATGTGCTTCCGTTCTTGCAAAAACAGAAATATGATCAAACATGCAAAGTGATATCCAGACAGGGATGTTCTGAAGTGCTTATAAGACACAACTCTGAAAGGTACAACTTAAGACAGCAGAAGCAAGGGTGGGGTTTCAAACCTATAAATGAATAATATGTTTTGAGCAGCAGCACCGTAGGACGCGTCTTCCTCCTCGAGAAAATGGCTTCTCCAAATAAAATATTTACATTCTGCCATCAAAGTTGAGCATTGTTTGATATGAATGTAGCCCACTGAGATGCAAAAGGATGTTGTATAATGTAAAAAATACATACTGTGATGCCATGATGTTCGATTTTTAACAAATGACTCTTTTTCAAGCTGTTTTAAGGCACAGTGACATTTGGCAGCATGCTGATTTTGCTGACTGTGACCATTATTTTTTAAAGTAAGAGTCAAAAATGGAAAATGTCATGTACATATCTGGGAGAGGAAAGGCGCAGCTGATTTCATAAGCTTTGACAACCTCAAAGAGAAAGTTGTGCTGATCTGGTGCTTGGAGAGCTGCTAATTTGTCCTTTAAGATGTCACTCAGTGGCACATAATGTGCTTAAGTTTTCCTCCAGAAGCCCTGATTACTTCAACTAGTCAAAATATATCCAAGTGAAGTGCAGTGGAGACTGTAAATCTCATTTTTTCTTGGTGTGAATCATGGGTGAATAGGACTGAATGTATTTTGTTTTCACCTGAGTGAACTGGGATTTAAGCAGTCAGCCATTTTCAAATACAGGAAAAGTGGATACTGAAAACTGACAGTAAGGCCATTTGTGTGGATCTCTGCAGCTGAAATGTTCTACTTATGGCCCTTTCCACTTGTCCTTACAAATCTGGTGCAAAAATTGAAATCTTTAAATAGCTCCTTGTATTTACAGTAAACTCTTTAAGCTTTCATTCACTCGTTATTAAAAACATTTCCTGTGGTCTCTAGTATGAATGAAGTCCTGTGAGTCTGTTTCTGTGGGGGGAAAAGCTCTGGCGCTCTTGTTTCAGGAAGTAGAAGTTAGCCAGAGGTGTGGGGTTGAAAAACTGAAGGATTTGGAGTAATCAGTATCCATAAGTGAACATCTTGCCTTTGATTGGCTAACAGCAATGCAATTCTACCACTGACTGCTCATCATGTGCCGCGTCACTTCCAGAAAATACACAAGTGAGACTGTAAATCTCATTTGTGAGGGAGTGGGCCAATAGAAGCAAACAGGTCGATAGATGCTTGCAGTTTGAAAACGGTGAAAGGGTGACTCTGATACACATTGCCTCATTGGCTTGACCAAAAGTTGATCTGTTAAAGAGCAAATTGCAGGTAAATTTTTTTTCTAATTCTTATAAAATGCTGTCCAAAAAATACTATTTAAAAAGCTTATTGTGGGTATTTCATTTTAAAATACGTAACAGCAGAGATTTTCTAGTAGAAAGTGACCTTTCTCAGCAAAACTTCTAAAAATGCTCTTTTTTCTAAATCTGAATCTCTGATGTATAAACTTCTTCCGGCTCTTGGACAGTACAGATGCTTTTTTCCTCCTCTCCTCCCTATCTTACTCTCAAGGCTCTTTGTCTGTCTTTGGGTGCACGGCTGCTTCTGCATTTTTTCGGAAAACTGGAAACTGAAATGACTAAAATGGATCTTGTCAGTTGGCAGTGTTGGGAACGTTACTTTAAAAAAGTAATTAGTTATAGTTACTGATTACTTTGTCAAAAAAGTAACTCAGTTACTAACTGAGTTACAAGATCATAAAAGTAACTAATTACCAACAAAAGTAACTACTTAGTTACTTTTTTCATTAAAGCATGCAAGAATTACTACAATAGTAAAATATAAATGACTAATGACTGGAACATAATAAAATGTATGTCCAAATGTTTTTATTAACCTGAATAATTTAAACAAATATGCACTTAACAGGAGGAACTACTAATAGGAACATTACACTAATCTAGACTATTAAAAGGTCACTGTGTGATATTTAACAAGACCCCAATCAGCTCAAATTTAAAATTGCAAATAGAAACACCTGTAAAGGTTCCCGAGCCTTTAAATGGTCTCTCTGTCTAGTTAAATTACAGAAATAAATGTAATTTTGCACAGCATTCTAATTTTTCCAGCTTCACATAATTGTGTGTTTTTAGCAGCATTTCTGTTGCTACTAATCTAGTAATGGTTAAATAAATAAATATCCTTTAAAATGACACTAGAAGAGGCACAAGCCTGATGGAGGACTTAAATGTACTAATTTGGGTCAGACCCAACCACAGAAGAGCTGAAGCTGGGTGGTAAACGCACACAGGTGGTTCTAATAACACCTGAGCTCCATGACGTCTGAGACTGATGCATCAGTGTTACAGCGGGACTAAAGACATGATCAGAAACAGGTTACAGCTGGATGATCTAGGAAGGTAGAAGATCAGGACGTCTGAGTGGTGAACAGGTGAGCGGACCTTCGGGACGTCCCGCTGTCACGCTAAGGGCACGGCTGCAGATCCGCAGATTCGCTGCTGCAGCAACAAATCTGCGGGGGGTCTGCAGCCGTAGATATTCATCACGTCTTCCTCGTTCTTCACGGGCCGTGATACTCTTAAACATCTGCCTCTTTAGCTCCTGATCAGCTGATGATGACAGCTTCAACACACCGCGCTGCTTCACGCACGCATTTTCTTATCAGTAACAGAAACGACGTTTTGATAAAAGAAGACGTAATTAATTAGTTTGCTCGTTACAGAAAGAAAGATTTTTTATTAACGCGGTTATTTTAAACGGAGTTATTCCCGTTGTGTCTACAGAATGCAGTGACTGAGACCGTGAGGGTCTCCGCCCACCCGGCCAATCATCATCGTGTTTGTAAGTGCGTTACCGACACCTCTCTCTCCCTGGCTGCAGCTGACGTGTGGCGGTCGGAAAGCCTCACGCTGTTGCTCAATGTTCGGCAAGCACATAGTAACGCACAACCTTCCGTCCCCAGTAATGGTAACGGCGTTGCAACGGCGGGAAAAGTAATTAATTAGATTATTCCGTTACCTATAAAAAAACACCGTTAGAAACGCCGTTATACTTAAACGGCATTACTCCCAACACTGTCAGTTGGTCACTTAACGTGATTGATAAAATTTTTTCAAAGATGAGAACGGGAGAAGGGGCTCCCGGATGCCCCTCTGGGACAGACCCAGCTGGTCATATCATGGACTCCTGGAAACAGTGGAACCTGATTTGCCTATCTCAGCTGTGTGTAGAGGATTCTGAAGACGTCTGGATATTCGTGGTGTTGGTGTCTGGTTTCCTGCTCTTTGGCCTAGGAGGCTTCCTGGCATACCGGAAAATTAACGAGCTGTCGAGGAATATTGGTGTTCTCCCCGAGCTCAGGGATGGACTACACCGTGCTGTGAATTCACAGACTCACATAATTGTCGAGATGAATGGTAAGCTTGGAACTTTGGCTGAGATTCATGCTTTGGCACAAAAGACGGATGCCATCAAAGAGAAAGTGGACAAATTAGCACGTATTGGGATAGATTAATTTACGCCATTATTGGGATTTTGAGAGGTTGAGGACCAACACAACTTTAAGACAGAGAGAAAATTGTCTCTGTCTGGCCCCAAAACAATTTCTAATCTGAATCTGGTGCCCTTGAGCCTGTAAGGCTGCAATGAATACTCCCCCCTAAGAAGAAATGTAAAATGCTGCCGTCGCTATGGCAACTCTGTCTCCTATCCCAGCCTGGGTGGCTGTGAAGGCGGCCGAATCGTTTCAGGAGTCACTGTGCCCTCCAAACCTCAACGACCTCCTTCCCCTGTCCAGACTGAGGTGACAAGCACTGTTTATCGTGGCTGCAGGAACTGATGTGTGGAGAGTCCCAAACCCACCACCCCACCTACTGGACACTTATGTTGTGTAATGTCTGAAGTCTGTTGCATCTCTTTCTGAGGTGTTTTTTTGCATAGCAAAGCTGCCCTCCCCTTGGAGGGTAACTCTGAAGTGCCTTTTTTCCCTCCACCTGAACCAGTCCTCATGTTACCCTCTGATCTCTATTAAGGTAGCACGACTCAGGGTTGCGAATGACCACAGTCACCAATTCTTGTCATGTGTCTTTGCTTATGTATGTCTGATCTCTGAATTGTGTGTACTGAAACTCTAATTTTCCCTCTGGGATTAACAAAGCATCTTTGAATTGAATTGAATTGTAACCAAAGGGAGTTAGAAACTCAGCGCTGCCTCAGCTCAGTGTGGAGAGTGGGTAATTTTAGGTTAGAGAGGTCATGTTATCGAGTCAGTGTGTGTGTTTACTAGTTTTGGATTGTGTTCATTTTGATAAACTACAGTGTGTGAAGACTGTATCAACTCCAGTGTGTCTGGACATCGGGTCCACGGGTTTCCAGGTAAGAGAAACAACGCCTCTATCTCCATGCCTGAGGGCGTTTTGTGCAGCTGAAAAGACGAGACTTCTGCAGTCTACATCAGTCGGTACCGGAACAGGGAGGTCTGCGCTGGGCTCCGGAGACCCGTGGCGGGGTTTAAAAAATTAAATGCGGATTTCTGGAGCTCAGATCACAGTCAGAACCAGGTCAGAACTAGCGATGGGTACCGCATTCGGTACTTTTTAAGGTACCGACCGAATTCCATAGTATCAACTGAGCACCGATTCACGTCATTTGAAACGGTGCCTCGTTTCGGTACCCGTCCTTCATAACAAAAACTTAGCCTAGACAGCTGCGCATGCGCAAGAGC